ATGCAAGGCAAACACCCAACATCTTTTTTTTTTTTAATTTTATTAGTGAATCACCGTGAGGTACAGTTACAGGCTTACAAACTTTCGTGCTTGCATTTCAATCATACAATGATATAGTACCCATCCCTCCACCAGTGCCCATTTCCCACCACCAATGGTTCCAACATGCCTCCCACCACCCCCACTCAGTCTCCTCCACCCCACTCTGCCTCTGTGGTAGGGCATTGCCTTTTGCTCTTTCTCTCTTTTGGGGTATTGTGCTTTGCAATAGAGGTATTAAGTGGCCATCATGTCTGGTCTATAGTCTACTTTTGGCCCACATCTCCCATCCTGAGCGGGTCCTCCTAGCACCCTTTACTTGGTGGTCCCTTCTCTATCTGAGCTGCCTTTCCCCTCAGCATGTGAGGCTGGCTTCTAAGCTGTGGAAGCACCCAACATCTTGTACTATTGCACTCACCCCGAGAAACATTTAAAATTTGAGCCACGGGGTCAGTTAAAGTGATTATTTTTTGGTTGCTTTTTTAAAAAAAATTTTTGCAAAAAAATAAAATTAAAAAAAATTTTTTTGCATATGTTTTCTTTTGAGGGTGGAGACCTTCCAAGAGGTGCTCAGGGAGCCCCCTCCCTGCCTGCCCCCCCCCCCCGGGTATTCTCAGCAGGATGTGGTGATATGAGGGCTCTACAGTGCCAGAGAGCACTGGGCTCACACCTTAGCCCTTGTACTATCTTTCTGCCCTCATCTTTTTTTGTCAAGGGAATAATGCTGTGTGGGATGTGGGGAATAGATGGAGAAGAGACACATCATTTCATTTCCAAAAGTATTTTTTATTTCACCCACCTTCCTGGAGTTCAAGTGTTTAAAGAAGATTCAAATCTTTGAGTTCATACTTTTTCAGGTATGAAAGAAAATCAGAAGTAGCTTAAAAAACTTGGAATTTATTAGTTTCTAGTTTCTAGTTCTCCAGTTATATCAGTGGTTCTTTAAAAGAAAGGGATAGAAAACTAGGAGCTATTGGACCAATCTCTATGACTGAAGAAGGAAACCTTGTGCCTATGCATGTGTGGCCTAGAAAGCAGTGTAGTTTCTGATGAATAGGAAAGAAGTGATCTCTATACTTTATTATTCATCTACAGTAGCTTGCTGGGTCCTTCTGGAAATATCCATTTTCTTTGTACTATTCTGGATTGGATAATCAATCCTGATTTTAGTCAGAGATTTATAATCCAAACCATAGTGATTTTATTTAGGGTGATGGCCATTAATCTACAGATTCCCCACAGATTCCCCAGAGTCCAAATCTGTTGAGCATCCTTGCTAGCCATAACTTCAGGTCTTAATTTGACTTAATATAATTTACAGTCTGGGCTGAAGATTCCGGTCATTGGGTCAGGCACTAAATTTAAGATAGATATTGAAATGGGTTAGCTAAATAAGAAATGAGCTTAAAAGGTGTAGAACATGTTCAGTTATTTCTTTTCAGACATATATTTGCCAAATTCTCTGCTGACCAATTGGAAAAATGCTAACTTTTATTTCTCTGTGCAACTGGATGCATATTTGAAAAGTTGTTGAATTTCAAGCATAAACTGTCTTCATATCAAGTGGCAAAATTGTGTTTATATATTTAGGGGTAAGAATTAAGGTCCCATTTCCCTAAAACAAGTCTCCAATGGAGACGTTACTGGGCCCGCTCGAGCAAATCGACGATCAACGGGAGGGCCTTCCCTAAAACAAGAATTCTAATCCTTTTCTATATACATTTCTATGGATAAAATTCTTGTGTTCTCTTGTGATATAACTCTTGTGGTATTACTGGAGATATCTCTTACAGGGTTCTTTCAGGTATAAGTAAAGTAAAGTAAAGGCCCTCCCGTTGATCGTCGATTTGCTCGAGCGGGCCCAGTAACGTCTCCATTGGAGACTTTGTTGTTACTGTGTCTGGCATATCGAATACTCTCGGTAGCTTGCCGGGCTCTCCGAGAGGGGCGGAGGAATCGAACTCGGGTCGGCCATGTTGGCCACTTATAAGGCGAACGCCCTACCCGCTGTGCTATCGCTCCAGCCCCTCTCGGAGAGCCCGGCAAGCTACCGAGAGTATCTTGGCCGCACGGCAGAGCCTGGCAAGCTCCCCGTGAGGTATTCGATATGCCAGACACAGTAACAACAAAGTCTCCAATGGAGACGTTACTGGGCCCGCTCGAGCAAAAGAACTTTCAGGTATAGATTAAAAAAAAAAAAGACACCAGTTATTCAGGATTTGAGGACTTATTCCAGGTCCAGAATGTGCCTATGTAGGTCCTGAGGAAGGAAGATATCCTGTCATCACTCAGCTTGGAAAGCCAAATTGAAAGGTCCATGTTAACAAAACTTATCTTATAGCCCTAAGTCTGCATATGGGTCATTTTGAAAGAGGAAAGGAACAACTAGAATTGCCAGATAGATCTTTTCCTTAGATTTGAGCAACCCTCGGATATTCCAAATTAAAAGGCAAAGATCAGTAAATACAGGAGATGAAAGAGCTAGACTCCATGAATTTTTCAGTTGTTCAGAGGACCTCTCCCTCTTCTCCATGTCCCTTGAAATTTAATTGGCATTTTCTTTGGGTTCCCTGTAATAGAACTGAATCTACTAATCTCTCTGCCCTTTTTTCCTGCTTTTTTCTCCTTGCAGAAGGAAAGCGAGAAAATCTTCAGGTTGTGCTTTTGGTCCTTTGGGCCCTTTTTGTTGTCTCTTTTTCACACACACACACCCCTCCAAAGCACCGGTTGTTGGGAAGGGTTGTGCATATGTGTATGTGTGTGTATGCATGGTCTTTGTCTCTGAGCTTTGGCTCATGCAGATAGTTCTTTTTCTCAAAAGCAGTTCTTGAGCATGCTCCTTGCTTGTGTGTGCTCCTACAGAAATCCCTGGAACAGTGTGAGATATGTGTGCTGGTTTGGCACACATTTAACATAGCATGCGTGTGCTTTTACTCCGTCTAACGCCCTAAACACTAATTGCCCTTCTTTGCAGTGTGTATCCATTTCCCCCCTGTTACTCCAGACTGGCATCTGCTGTAAATCCTTGCTGCGCCCAGCATGCTTGTGTACTTTGTGTTTGAGAACAGGAATTGCTGCAGGCATTTTGTGCCTCTTGCCTGTGGCCCTTTGTGCAAATGTGCTTTATGTTTCTGAGCAGGCTTCCTGACCTTTCTTTGAGTACAAGCTTCTGTAGAACTGTGATGTTGTTTGCCCATGCCATGTGAATGTATAATATATCAGTGGGCTGTGCTTGCAAGAATTGGTTCTTAGTTATTGCTGGTTTTCTTTGCCAGTGATTCAAGCCCCAGTAAACATCAAATCCTCACCAAATGATTATGTGTACATATGCTATAGCCGTAATCTCAGCTTGTGTTTCTGTCAGGCACACTTTGTGTCTATGAGTATACTACCTCCTAAAGGTACTATTCTCACTTCTCTGAGTTTTCTTCAGTGCTCTCTATATGCATGCTCAGGCTTCTGCAGATCCCTTCTAAGCACAAGGAATGTGTATCATCTGGGCCTAAACCTCTGATGTCCGGAGATTTTTTGTGGGTTTGTTTCCTTAAATCAGTGGTTTCTGGCAACTATCTAATTCTGGCTGCTAAATTAAAATTCGCTCAGTATGATATTTCTTTGTAGAGGGAGGATGAGTCCTGGTTGGTGGGATCTGATAATTTATGGAAGACTACCTCTCACAAGCAGCAGATTTAGGATACTTCAGTCACCTCTGGCTCCTTGAGAGGCTCACCCTCCCTTTTTCTGGTATGATTCCACTCCCCTGAGAGCCACGGAGGAGACTCATGAAATGGAACTAAGTTGGTAAAGGACTATGAAGCGTTGGAAGAGAGGCTTGATAAGAGCACAGACAACCTGAGAAGAGTCTTGAATTCACTGTCCATCTTAAGCCTACTGCTGACCCAGCAAAACTCTTACTTTCTAGTACCCATTAAACTGTCTAACCTCTCCCCTTTCTACTTTTTTTTGACCACTTTGTATCTATGATTTCTCCCACCTCTCCCCAAATTTTATCTCTAGTTCAGGGTTATACAGTTTATTTCTATTTCACTTACTTTGGAGCTCATTAGCTCCAGAATAACTAGCTAGATCCCAAATCTCAGGTGGTAGGGAGGTTCTTGGGGCGGGGGGGGGGGGGGGGGTGGTCAGAGGTGGTAGAAAACCCTAGATTTGCTAGCACTAGGTTTGTTGAGCCTAAACGGCACATACGTTGGTTCTTTGGAGAACCCTGACAGCTTGGACCTCTCTCTGTATACTGCCTGATGTATTTGTTTTATTTTATTTAATTTTGTTGAAAGTGTGCAGAAATCTTTAAAAAGTATTTTCAAACTTGAATTATTTGGTGCCTCAATTTTTAACTTCTCATTATAGATCTTTTAAAATTCACCAGCATGCTAATTCAAATGTCAGATCTGCCATGGGTTCTATTGTTATATAGAGTTTATCAAATGTAAAGTATACTCAGTGAGTCAGAGAACTCAGACAAAGACAAATCATCAGACAAGATAGAATTCTAAAAAGATTCAGTGTGACTTTGGGGATCTTAACCAAAGAAACTTATACATGTCACTGGAAAACCATTTTCAAAATGAAGTTGTCCTTTGCTTTAATGATTCTTGATAGCCTACATAGACACATCACCTAGCTTTGACTTACTGTTACATGCACTGGTGAATTTTGCAAAGGGGTTATAAATTCTGGTGACTCTCACACTGAGTGAGCTTAAGGACTCAGATCTCAATGAGTTTATTCTTTACTATCCATTGCTTAGAAGGGAGATAAAGTACTATTCATTTCAGCAGCATATAGTTGCCCTAGCTGAAATGAGCATTGGCATAGGCATAAAGATGGCTGTGTTTCTACATCATGTGACCTACTCTCGGAGCTTGCTACTTTCTCGCTTATGCCCAGCCTATTGTGTGTCTCTCATTTTTCTCAGATACTAACTTTATCTCTTTTTAAAGATTCCAGATGATGGTGATCCTTCCCTGCCCCAGTGGCTCCCAGAAGGGTAAGTGATGATTCCTTGTAAGGGTTCTGTGGTTTCTGTGGAGCTTTCTCCTGGGAAGCAGGGAAGACAGCTCCATGAACTGGATCTTGGGAAAGGAAAAGGTTTCACTGCAGGTTGGTTGGTTCTCTGAGGAAGAGAATATAACTCCATAGACTGATTTTTCAGAGGTAGAAGAAAGAGATTTGTGAAATGATTCTTTTGAAACAGGAGAGGGACTTTGGAATTCCTTCATCCTGATCTCTAGAATTTGTTTTTATCATAGTGTTGATGTACCTTTTAGAAAGAAAAAAAAATACCTATATTTGAATTGTTTCTTTCTATGTCATTGTTGGTGTAGCTAATTTGATCTCTCCTTCAACTACCTCCTGTTTCAACTCTTATTAGTCACCTATTTATTCCATTCTTCTTAAGTCAAGATATAAGTAGCATGCCTTATGAGCTCTGTGTGTTCAGTCTGTGCATCTTGTCTAGAAGTTTAAGACCCATGTGATTGCACCAGAGAGTCATTTTAAGCTGCTCAACTGCTGCCTGTAACTGACTGACTGTTCTTAAGAGAGGAAAGAGTTTAAGTACCTTCCCACCCTCACTCCAACCCACATATACTGCCAATTATTTCTCAAGATCTTCATACTCTCCTTGTTCTACAAAAGCCTTCTGACATCAGAATTCTTAGTAGCTGCCTCCTCTCCCTTGTGACCAAGAAAGAAGAAAGATAGGATCAAGCACATCTTTAATATACTATTTTATGATTTGTCTTTTTTTAAGTTTAATCATACCAATGAGCTTCCCTTCTCTTATTAAAAATTCATTTATGGTGCAAAAAGTTATAGGTTTAAGTGGTACATATTGTATTTTTTAGAATTAGTTACAAACTTAGAGCACCAGTTGCTTTTTGAATAGCAGTTCTTTAGGACTTTAGCTTTTCTTAAAGGCCCTCCCGTTGTTCATCGATTTGCTCGAGCGGGCCCAGTAATGTCTCCATTGGAGACTTTGTTGTTACTGTGTTTGGCATATCGAATACGTCACGGGGAGCTTGCCAGGCTCTGCTGTGCGGGCTTTCCGAGAGGGGCGGAGGAATTGAACTCGGGTCGGCCACATTGGCTGCGTGCAAGGCAAACGCCCTACCGCTGTGCTATCGCTCCAGCCCCTAGCTTTTCTTACTTTCTAACAATTACAAAATACATCCATGGCAATGAAACATATGCAAGCTATTTTTAAATGTAGCCATCAGTGATTTTCTAAATTCTTCTCTGTTGTCTTTTTGCCTTTCCTTCAGTTTAGTCCTTGGAAGCTGTTACAAGTATAGAACTTGGTTATGCCTGCTAGATTCATTGAAAATGAAATTCACTGCCTATGATCAAAAAGCCAGTTCAGGGACCAGAGAGGTAGTAAAGTGGGTAAGGTGCTGGCCTTGGATACTGTTGACCTGGGTCAGTCCCTGGCACTCCATATTGTCTCCTGAGCACCACCAGGAGTGATCCTTGAATGCAGAGTTAGGAGTAAACTCTAAGCAAAACTGGGTGTGGCCAACAAACAAAAAATAGATAAAAGAGGTCTATCTTTTTATCTAGTTTATTAGAAATCAACACAGCATGTTGCCTTTGTGTTTGTTTTGGTTTTGGGAACATCCCTGGTGGTACTCATGGGCTACTCTCCGCTTAGACTTGGGGCGATTCACAGATTCACAGTAGTACTCTGGGAATCATTTGGAACTAGGGATAAAAGCTGGAACTTCTGCATACAAGCCCTTTAAGCTTTCTCTATGGCCCAGGTTGCCTGGCTTTGACCCAATTTGTGACACCATTACTTTCTAGTATTATTTATGAAGCATAAGTTCCTGCATATAAACAGAGAACCCTTAAATAGTCAGTATTGTATAAAAGGAGCCTCAAAGTTTGACTAAAATCACAGAAGACAATAATGAAGGGCACTCTGATGGGGCCAGAGAGATAGTATAGCAGGTAGAGCTCTTGCCTTCCATGCATATGATCTGGGTTTGATCTCTAATATCCCATATGGTTCCCTGAGCCTGCAAGGAGAGATTCCTGAGTATAGAGCCAGGAGCAACCCCTGAGTTACCACTGGCTTTGGCCCCCAAACAAACAACAACAACAATCAAAAAAAAAAAAAGAACAAAGAGTACTACGAGAGGAAGTTCCTTTGCTTACCATTCCATTTTAAAAGTTTTCTCATTTTCTCTCTTACCCTCCTAAAGGGTAAGTTCAATTCTTCCTCTGGAGAGAGGAGAGCAAGGAAAATGGAGACTGGGATGTTGAACCTACCAGTAACTCTAAGCAGAACTGAAGGTCCTGACTTATTTTCTTCTCCTCTTAGGCCTGCTGGAGGACTCTATGGCATTGACAGCATGCCAGATCTGCGTAGAAAGAAACCACTGCCACTTGTCAGTGATTTGGTGAGTAAGCTCTTATGCAGGCTTAGTCTGCAGTCTTGGGCTATCACCCATGGGCTTTGACAAGCCATCAGGACAATAGGTATCAATTCAAGGACTAGTCCTGATCTGATGTACTGGATGGTCTGATGATCAGTCATTTAAATCCTTTGGACTTAGTGATAATTTCAGCTGGACTTTATTCAACCTAGTTCCTTCTTAGAATCCTAGGTACTTTATTAGCTCAGACTGTATTACCTGCAACTTTGTAGGATCTACAAAGTTGAACAGTGGGTCGTCTTCTAGTTATTTCACTCCACTTACTAGATTCTTTTGATTCATTGCACATAGAGTGTGGTAAGTATGATTTGTGCTACACCTTGAGGGTTAAGTGAGCTTCCTAAGACTTAGGCTTTCTACACTTTTCCTTTAGCCTTAACTGAGTGTCTGACACTGAGAGCTAATGATCAGAATTTGTGAAATTGAAACAAAGCAAGGTTAGGGATTATTGAAACTGATCCTAGAACTTCCGGGATATCCAGAAGGTCCTATTTTGTCATGTCTCCTGAGGCAGGATCAAGTGAAGGAAATTTCCATAGCCTTGTTAGTGAATGGGGTATGGGAGAATTTCCCAGATTCCTAGAGCTCTAAAGCTGCATGTTCAATAAGGACTGGGTTTTTCAATAAGAACTGGATTTTCCTTATTCCACTTTCACTTCCTTTTTTTTTCTTTTGGAGGAGAATAGAGAGATCCAGTACCAGGGTTGACTGCAGTCCAGATAGCAGCTTACCTAACTCTGTTCTAACTCTGGTTGTATTTTCTTCCTTCTTTCTTCCTATTCTGTGTATTTTTTTAAATTCATCATTTTCCCATTTCTTCTTTGTCTTCTGTTCTATTTCCCCTGCCCTCCCACCACCACCACCACCAACTGCCCACCTTAGTTGGCTGAAGAAAGTACCTTATGTAATTCTTTTTATTTCTTTATTTCCTTCCTTGATTGTTGCCTGTTTATCTTTTATCTTTTTTCTTTCTCCTCTGCATCTCTTTTCCCACCAGCTTGTCATTGAACTGATTGGACAAATATGTCTTATGTCATCATTCCCTTATTATTACCCTGTACTATCATCTATTTTTTTGTCTGTTCATTTCTCCCTACTTTTTCTTATCCTCTACTACCCTCTTTCTAACCAGCTTTTCTTTGCATGACTGATTAGATAATTGTATTTTATTTATTTCTTATTTTCCCTCCTCTCTCTTTTATCACTGCCTGTATTTAATTTTCTTTAGTAGGGACTCTCAGCCTTGAGATCTGGTCAACTGTCTGGGGTAAAGACAGCTTTCAGTGGATAGAGACTGAGGGGGTTGGGACATGCTGCCTAATTTTGACTATTAAGGAAGACTTCTTAATTGCTTCTGAATGTTTTCATGCCTTCGGGAGGGCTTTAACATCATGTTGTTCCTTTCTCTGCTCTCCTTCCTGCAGGCTATGGTGAGTGTCTCCAGACCTCTTTTCCATCCTCTGTATTAGACTCTACGTTGCTCAGCCCCTACCAGCTCCCATCTGTTTTTCTGGCCTAGGCCTGATACTACTTCGGCCCATCCTGTGTCCACAGCATCAGGAAACCATGTGTACCTCCAGGGGTGTGGCAGATATATCATGCTCCTCTGTAAAAAAAGGACTTAGCAGGGAAGCCCATACTTTCAGCCTTAAACCTCCTCTTGGTTTGACTGAGGCTACATAGCCCCTTTCACTAGCCAAGTTCCTTGCTCATTTGGGCTGCTGTTCTTTAGAGGTACCTGGGATTGGGTGAGCATGGGGTGGGACCAAGGGCTAGAAGATAGTATGGAATCAAATTCTCAGTGATTCTTGAATATGAATCTATGACAGTATACATGTATATCAGATTCCTTTTTTTGGGAGGAGAGGGGTCGTGCTTTTTAGGTCACACCTGACAATACTCAGGAGTTACTCCTGGCTCTGCACTCAGGAATTATTCCTGCTTGGGGGACCATATGGGTGCTGTGGATCAAACCCAAATCGGCTGCATGCAAGGCAAATGCCCTACTGGCTGTACTATTGGTCTGGCCCCAAGTCTGTCAGATTCTTTTTTTTCTTTTTCTTTTTTTTTTTAATTGAATGGCCATGAGATATAGTTACAAAGTTTTCATGTTTGAGCTTCAGTCATACAATGATCAAACACCCATTGTCAGATTCTAAATGACATGATTCCTACTATAATTATAAACTTTTCATTTTCTTTTGCTTTTGCTTTTCTGAAAATATGGAGGGTTTTGTTGTTGTTGTTGGGGTTTGAAAACCCACATATAGTTAATGGAAAAGAAGCCCTTTAGTTATTAGGTACCTGACAAGAAGTGCTATTCTTTTTTTGGGGGGGTGGGGAAGATGAGTCACAGCTGGTAGTGCTCAGTGGACCATATGGGATGTTGGTGACCAAACATGGGTCAACCATGTATAAGTCAAGTGCTATACCCACTGTACTATCTCTCTGACCCCTATTCTAACATTAAGCAAATATTCTCTCACTGTTGGATGTGGCTCAAAAAAAATAGTTCTCTGAGATCTTATGTCTCGGTTCTTAATCTGAGACACTTGCTACCTATTCCACACAGGCAGTCCTGTGAATGACAGTGAAAATAAATGATTGTAAGGTATGGGCAAGTAGCTTTGGCTACTGAACTCCCTCTTTAGACTTTGTCAGCCCTTGATGACATTTATGACTGACAGCAGTCTCTCTCTCAGTCACTGGTCCAGTCCCGAAAGGCGGGCATTACTTCTGCAATGGCTACACGCACCTCTCTCAAGGATGAAGAGCTGGTAAGTAATTTTATGAATAACTGACATAATTGATGATATCTCTGTAGTAACACTAATTGAAACTTTGAGAATGTTAGCCATACATTATTAATGAAAGAGTTAAGTAGCACATGTTTTCAGTTTTCCACATAGGGAAAAGTGAAGGTCAAGACCCGAGGCAAAGCCGCACACTCTAGGGGTAAGGGCAGCTCAGATAGAGAAGGGAGCACCAAATAAAGGGTGTTGGGAAATCCGCCCAGGATGGGAGATGCATGCTGAAAGTAGACTATAGACTGAACATGATTGCCACTCAATTCCTTTTTTGCAAACCACAGCATCCAAAAGGAGAGAGAGAACAAAAGGAAGTGCCCTGCCACAGAGGCAGGGTGGATTGGGGGGGGGTTGGGGGGGAGGGATACTGGGGTTAGTGGTGGTAGAGAATGGGCACTGGTGGAGGGATGGGTACTCATTGTATAACTGAAACCCAGGCACAAAAATCTGTAAGTCTACGACTGTACTCAGTGTTACAGTGGGCCTACTACTCTGTTTTCTTTGAAAGATTGAATGCTGGGACAAAGCTCACACCCAGCATTCAGGTTAAATTTATTCTGGATAATCAAGAGCCTCTACCCTGGGGCCTCTTTTGGCCAGGCTGAAATATTATCTCCATTACATGAAGAGAAACAAGGTAAAGCTCTGCATGGGTCTTACTTATGCCATCTTCCATCAGAACTCTAAAGTCACTGGTGGGTGATGGTGTACATGTCTTTCAGAAATCCCATGTATATAAGAAAACTCTTCAGGCCTTAGTCTACCCTATCTCGTGCACTACACCCCACAACTTTGAGGTCTGGACAGCCACCACCCCGACCTACTGCTATGAGTGTGAAGGTCTCCTCTGGGGCATTGCCCGGCAGGGCATGCGCTGCAGTGAGTGTGGAGTCAAATGCCATGAGAAGTGTCAGGACCTCCTCAATGCTGACTGCCTACAACGTAAGTACCCCTGCTGGATGAGGGGTGGAAGGGAGGAACAGCAGAGTTCTCCAAAAGAGACTGGCATCAAAGATATAGTATGACTGAATTGTCATTCCTTCATTCTATCTGATTCTGAGTTCTTTTCTTTTTAAAGAAAGTAGGATCCTGAGTCAAAGACCAGTGGCATCCCAAAAATAGATCTTAAGGCATTCTCTTAAGCACATTCACGAAAAAATTATTCGACTTTTTGTAGCTCTCTGATGTAAGTAGACTATCTTCTAGGATTCAGATGATCCCAAAGATTGTTCTTGAATAGTGTATATACCAAAAAGACCATATTGCTGAAATGACTCAAGCATATGTTATCAAGGACTAGAACTTATTAGAGTTCTGTGATGTTCTAGACTTCACAGAAGAAATTTAGACCCTAGGAAATTGAGACTCATTACTTGTTTATATGTGAAGCTTTGTACGAGTACCAGGAATAGGAACTCTATATGTGTCAGACAGGGATCCAGGAGAAGAATATTCTAGACCCCAAGGGCTTGGCTAAATATATGACCTATGCTGCCATTGTGTAATAGGTAGAATAGGAGGGGGAAATAAAAGTCTCTTTCAAAGGAGGTATTAGTATTACAATTTTTTTTTTTGGTTTTTGGTTTTGGGGGCCATGCTCATTGTGTTCAGGGATCACACCTGGCGGTGATTGAGAGATCATATGTGATGCCAGGAATTGAACCAAGGTTGGTTGCAGATAAAGCAAGTGCCTTACCCCTTGTACCATCTTCCTGGCCCACGTATTAGAAATTCTTACTCCCTTGTTTTCTGCTTGCCAGGCCTGAAGTGCTATGGCTAGACCCCAGGACGACTAGTGGTGAGGGTCATGGGAAAATATTTTCTTTGCTCTTTAGTTCCCCTTGGTGTTAGATTCAAGCCAGAGAATTAAAACTTCAGGGTTGTGGGAAGCGAAATAAAGACCCCCTTTAGAGTCACAAGGTCTTCATTATCCCAAGGGAAGAAAAAATTCAAAGGGGTCCAGGGAGAAGTCTCAAGGAATTGTTCAATTCAATTGCCCTTCTTAAAAAAGTTGTAGGTTGACACCAGTGATACATGAAGGATAGATATAACAAAGTCAGTAGAAGAAATGGAGCTCTGAAAAGATTTGTTGAAGACAAATTCTGATAATGATTTTGCCCAACCCCACAATAAAGGGTCAATGGCAGGCCCTTCCTTTAATTTCTGAGACCTAACATCCATATTGACTGCTTACTGGAAACCTTCTATAATGCTGTACTATATAGTCAGTGTGTCCATCTTCTCTGAGGTCTTTCAGGTCTTAAAGAAGTTCTCAACTTTTTAGAGATTATTTCCCTCTTCCTGTCCCCCACCATCGAATCTTATTCTTCCCTTCACCATTTATGTGATTTTTTGGCCGATAGTCTCCTTGGAATATCTTGGGGCATTTAGGAAGTCAAATGGCCTTGGTTAAGAAGCACTGCTATAAAGCACAGAGTAAAAGGCAATGTCTGTCAGCTTCCTTCTACCAATGACTAGAATGCAGATGTTGGTTATTTTTGATCCAAGTTTTGTAATAAAGTTCTTTGGAAACTAAAGAGGCAGAAGAGCTAGTTAGCAGGGTCAATGAAGGAAAGATGTCCTCAGCTCTAAGGCTGGATGGTAGAATACACTGAAGTTATCTGTATTCTACCTTTATCCTTAGAAAGCAAAGAAAACCTGATAGCTTCTGAGCTGAGTTATGTGGGACAATGACTAGTGAAGGTGGCTCTTTGTCCTACAAGTATAGCAAGATGGTGGGAACAAGGGGAACTATTTATTGAGAATCTACTGTATGCCAAACATTGTGCTACATATACTATATAATATAATGATATTACAATCCTGAGATTAGTGCCATTTTCTATTTTTAGAAGAATCTGTTTGCTCAATTAGGAGTGATGGAATCAAGATTTGGAATCCTAGGTCTGTTTACTTTGGGGGATTAAAAGCACCTCAGCTTTGGGAAAGAACCCAAATGTGTGCTGTGATGAAATCTGAGATTTGTATCAATGACTTTGCATTTTCCTGGTATTGAGGAGTTTTTAATGCCCATTTACTGCCCTTCTTTGATAATTGAGATACTCATCAGTGAGTTTGTTTTTGCTTTTGGCCACAAATGCTGGTGCTTAGGGGTTGTTCCTGATATCTGGGGTACCATTTAGTACTAGAGTCAAACCCTGCCTTCCTACATGCAAAGCATATGCTCAACTCAAAGAGTTTCAGTTTAACAAATTTTATTTTATTTTATTTTTGCTTTTTGGGTTACACCCAGCAATGCTCATGGATTACTCCTGGCTTTGCACTCAGGAATTACTCCTGGTGGTGCTTGGGGGACCATATGGGATGCCGGGGATCAAACCCGGGTCGGTCACGTGCAAGGCAAATGCCCTACCCGCTGTACTATCGCTTCAGCCCCAAAGAGTTTCAGTTTAAATTCTACTGGTCAAATAAATTCCAGCATGCCACAGAGTGATTAACTTTTCCAAGCAGTATCCCAATTATCTTAAACTTCTAAAATGCTCATTGACCTTTCCCAAACCCCAGTCCTTAGCCTTACCCTGAGTCGAGTAAGTAGTCTGACTAGCCCTGTTTTCTATCTCTAATCATCTTTTAGGGGCTGCAGAGAAGAGCTGTAAACATGGAGCTGAGGACCGGACTCAGAACATTATCATGGCCATGAAGGATCGCATGAAGATCCGAGAGCGAAATAAGCCAGAAATATTTGAAGTTATCCGAGATGTGTTCACTGTGAGCAAAGTTGCCCATGTGCAACAGATGAAAACAGTGAAGCAGAGTGTGTTGGATGGCACCTCCAAATGGTCAGCCAAGATTACTATCACTGGTGAGATTATGGAAAGGAGTCTGAGGCAGAAGTGTGAAGGATCACGGTGCTAGGAAGAATGAAGTGATAGAATGGAGGGGATTAAGGAGGGCCTCATTATTCATTTCCCCTCTCTTATACTCTGGTACAGGGGGTGCTGGAAGAAGCAGGATTGCTACCTAACAACAATATGAGTGATGATATAAAGATTTGGTGACAACCTGATATTCTTGTTTTGGTTAACAATATAATATTATAAGAGCTGGAGTGGGGCAAAGGAATGCAGATTAGAGAACAATTAAACAGTTTTTTTCTATGTGGATGGGTGTCGCTAGATTTTATATGAATCACAGGGAATAAGGATCAGTATGTAGGAGTAAATGGTGAGTCAGGACTCAAGTGGGGAGATTGAATTCTTGAGCTAGGCTTTGAGGCTGTGGCCTAGGAACAAGGACAGATGTGGGGAATGAGATTAGGATTCCTGTACAAGTGCACAGAGGCTGCTCTAAGAACAATGAATAGCGTGATGGAGGTTTTCTTACTTCTTGGAATGTATGTTTGGGTTGCAGTGATGTGTGCCCAGGGCCTTCAAGCCAAGGATAAGACAGGATCCAGTGACCCATACGTGACTGTGCAAGTGGGCAAAACCAAGAAGCGCACCAAGACCATTTTTGGAAATCTGAATCCTATTTGGGAGGAAAAGTTCCATTTGTAAGTTGCAGAGGACTTGTTCTTACCTAGGGCTATGTATGCATCTTTTGGATCTACATTAAATCCCATTTTCTGGACTGAGTCTTTAAAAGGGATGGGGCAGAAGCAGTGAAGAAAAGTCTTTTCTTATATGATAGCAGCAGCCCTGCTTTCCCTGAGTTTCTTCTCATGGTCTCTACTATTCAAGGTTACTTTACCCAAGCTCCATCTTAATTAGACCTACTAAGGGGACCTAGAGCGCCCCTTACTTCAAGTTCTATAAAAAATGTACTGCTTTTCAGTGACTGCACCCTAGGGAATGGACACTTTGTCATAAACTTCTGAGCCCTGCCATCATGCCTAGAAAGGGCGAGATTGTTCTAAGGAGTATGGAAGGATGTCCTACACTGCAAAACTGAAGACAAAAATCTCTTTTTTTTTTTTTTGGCTTTTTGCTTTTTGGGTCACACCCGGCAACACTCAGGGGTTACTCCTGGCTCTCCACTCAGGAATTACCCCTCGCGGTGCTCAGGGGACCATATGGGATGCTGGGAATCGAACCCAGGTTGGCCACATGCAAGGCAAACGCCCTACCCTCTGTGCTATTGCTCCAGCCCCAAGACAAAAATCTTGGGTCTGGGAGTTGTTTCTGTTTTTCTTTAGGGCTCTGCATCAGGGTCCACAGATCATTCTTTATTTTTTTATTATCTAACTTTTTACAGACTATTTTGTAAAACTTGTCAAAAGCTAGCAGATATTCTAGTTACCTAGAACTCAAACTAATGGCTATGCCTGTGTGACCATATGTGGTGCTGGAGATAGAATCTTGTCAGCCATGTACAGGAAAACATCTTACTCATTGTACTATCTCTTCGATCTCTGATTAATTCTAAATAATTGGCTCTGTAGTACATTTGCCTGATATTGCCTATTTATTAAGTAATTTAGTAAGTTTTCCTCAATGAAAGCACAACAGAAAAGGTGACAATTCAAATGTGTGTAAAGAATGATAGAAATTCACCAATGACTTACTTTGGTAGGTGAAGAAGCTAGTAAACGAAGCAGGTAAGAACAATGTACACTGGCATCTTTACTGACTTTATATTGGACTCTGTGGAAGTAAGTCCAGGTCCTTCCTAGGTCTTTATGATATCTTTCCAGCTGTTTTCTTGTTGGTATTATTCATACTTCTGGATGCACAGGAAATGCAAGTTGTCCCTAATTACTTTTCCCTTTTCTCTTCAGTTCTAGGGCAGTATAAATGGGTGGTGTGGGAAGGTGCTTGGTAGGGTAAGAAACCTAGGGGCATTGGTGGAGAGATGCTAAGGAAAATGGTATGCCTGAAAACTCCTGTTATTGACAGCTTATAAATCAAAGTGCCAAAGTGAAAGCAAACAAATAAATGAAAGAATTTAGTAATGAAATGAAAGAAAGTAGTAATAGAGCCATAGAGGATAAGTAATAAAGAGCCATTTACTGGGCTAGCCTGACTCAAGTGGAAATTTCAGTACCATTGTTTTCTGACCCTTTTCTGTCTTCAGGGTCCCCAGTGCAGTAGATCGCACTGTAGGAAATAGTAGTAGGTAATGGTAATAGGAGTGGGATTGCTGGGTCTCTCCCTAACAGAGCCTGCCTAATTCTCTCTCAGTGAGTGCCACAACTCTTCTGACCGCATTAAGGTACGTGTGTGGGATGAGGATGATGACATCAAGTCAAGAGTAAAACAGCGACTAAAACGAGAGTCTGATGATTTCCTTGGCCAAACCATCATTGAGGTTCGGACTCTAAGCGGCGAGATGGATGTCTGGTACAACTTGGGTGAGAAAACAGGATCAGGGAAAGTTGTTGGGAGACAGAGAGCATGAAAGCAACTCAGGGAACATCCTGTCTGCCAAAACTACCACTTTATCCCAGAGCAGACTTCTCTACAAAGCTTGTCTTTCCTGGAGAGTATTGACCATATATCAAGATGGGAGACAGAGGAGTGGGTATGACTGGAACTCACATTGACTGGATATTTTCCAGAGTTTGGAAAGCTCTATATTTAATCTTCATACTTATTCCTAATGCTGTTAGGTTCCTGGGCACTTCTATTGTACCACCTAGACAGTTCTGGGTTTTTTGTGAACTAGGCCATTATTGGAGTGAATTAATGCTTTTAGGTGAACCCTCAGATCATAACCAACTTTTCCTTGGGGTAAGCCAGGTTGGGAGCTGTCTGTTGGTGCATTGGTGTCAATGTCTGGTCTTCTCTCCTTCCTAGAGAAGAGGACCGACAAATCAGCCGTCTCAGGGGCTATCCGACTACAAATCAGTGTGGAAATCAAAGGGGAAGAGAAAGTAGCTCCATATCATGTGCAGTATACATGTCTCCATGAGGTGAGCTATCCTGTAGTAGATGGAGGGTAAGGGGTAGGTGGTTGGAGGGCCTTTGATAATGAATAGTATTGTTAGGGCCGGGGTGATAGTGCAGCAGGTAGGGGGCTTGCCTTACACGCAGCCAACCCAGTCATCCCATCAATCCCTGGAATCCCCTATCGTCCCCCATGCACCGACAGGGGTGATTCCTGAGTGCAGAGCCAGGAGTAACCCCTGAGCATCAACAGGTGTGGTCCCAAAAAACAAAGAAAAAAAGAATAGTATTGTTAGATGATTGAAGATCTGGGACCTGCTTTTTATTTTGTCCTTGATGTTCTTTGTGTTCTCTTAAGAGCCAAAATTATAGTTTTAATCCTTCTGGAGCGATAGCACAGCGGGTAGGGCGTTCGCCTTACAAGCGGCCAACATGGCCGACCCGAGTTCGATTCCTCCACCCCTCTCGGAGAGCCCGACAAGCTACCGAGAGTATTTGATATGCCAGACACAGTAACAACAAAGTCTCCAATGGAGACGTTACTGGGCCCGCTCGAGCAAATCGACGATCAACAGGAGGGCCTTTACTTTACTTTACTTTTTACTTAATCCTTCATTTGTTTTTGGCTACTAGAGTCACAGAACAAAATAAGCAATGATTTGAAAGACAAAATTTCTGTAGAAAGAACCCTGTTCGCATTCTCCTAGACTTTACAATCAGGTTTTGTTTTTGTTTTTATATGTATTTAATTCTTTGCTTGTCTCCTGCAGAACCTCTTCCATTACCTTACTGATATTCAGGGCAGTGGAACAGTCCGGATCCCCGAGGCTCGAGGAGATGATGCATGGAAGGTGTACTTTGATGAGACTGCTCAAGAAATTGTGGATGAATTTGCCATGCGCTATGGCATTGAGTCCATATATCAGGCTATGACGTGAGGCTCCCCTGGGACATTGGGAAATAGCTACTAAAACTTGGGGTGGTTAATAAACGCACACTAATAGGGTGGATATGTTTTTAGAATAGGTTAATGCCAGTGATTCATTGCTTTTCTCTCTGAAAAGATGATGTGGGTGGGTCTATGCACCAAGGCAAATATAGTGTATTTTTAAAGGGAATGTGTTTTTTTGAAACTTAAGGAGAAGGTATTAGACTATCCACTCCAAAACTGAGAGATAAGGGGAAAAAAACATGGGGGCAGAGGTGGGGACTGAGCAAGTACAAACCTGCCCACTTGTCACAGGATCACAGGACTCTGTGTGTGTGTGTGTGTGTGTGTGTGTGTGTGTGTGTGTGTGTGTGTGTGTGTGTGTGTGTGTAAGGGAGAGAGATAGAGATTGTTCTATGTATAAGAATATAGAGAAATAATATGGGATCTCTTCTTGGAGAACTCAATCTAACAAAAAAGACATATCAGTAAAAATCAAACTACAATATGGGATAAGTGCCATGATGGAAATAATCACAGAATATTATGGCAGCACATACATTTTAGGGGAAATATATGGAGTAAGACATTGAAGAATAGACACTTAAACTGAGTCTTGAAATAAAGAATATAAGAAAAAGTGTTTCTGATAGTTACGTGCAGTGCAGGGTTGCTAAAATGAAATAGCATAAAGTATTCAGGGGATTGCAAGTTCAGTATAGAAAGAGAAGAAACATGTAGAAGCATGTTTGAGAATGACCTCTCTGCCATTTTTTTTGAGAGGCAAGGGCACAACCCAATAACATTCAGAATGTGGCAGAGCTACTCCCAGCCAGCTTTATGCAACAAACTGGGTCTGGTGGTTCAATGCCTAGGGCCTGTGAGATGATGTTCCTCAGGCCCAGCAGAGCTAGGGGTCACCATGGCCACCACAGTGGTGTTTAGGTGGCCGTGTGGTCATGCTGTATCATGGATTGAACTTGGGGCCTTATACACACCAGACATGTACACCAGCACTTTGAGCTGTCTCCTTGATCCGCTCTGCTATTCCTATTGTTCATTTACTCTGGGATTAGTTGATTCAAATCTCAACGATTACTTCTGAACTAAGATCTCACAAATATCTTCCTCTCAATCAGAACTTTTCCTGAATTTCAGACCCATTTTCATCTACCTCCTGGGTATTCCACAGATATTGCAAACTTTGAATGGCAAAAATCCATTAAACTCATCATCTCCTTGAAATTTGCTTATTGTTCTATATTACCTACTTTAGTAAATAGAATGATTTGCAGCTCCACTGCCCAAATAAATTCAGGTGTCATGCTAATCTTTTCTATTTTGGAGCAGGGAAGTGGGGCCCCCAGCTGCTCTGTGCTGCTCCAGGGATCAAAGTAAGGGCCTCAGACAATCAGGGCATGTGCTTTGCCACTTACGCTACATCCTCAGTCCTAAACTTCTCTTTATTACCACCATTTTATGTCTCAGCATCCAATCAGTCTCTGTAATCTCTAAATTCTTTCTCCAAAAATGTTTTTATTCTATCACTGTGGCTTATAGCTTAATAAGCTATCACAGCTGTAACAATACCACAGCCCTTATGTAGTATTTTCTTACATGCTAGCACTTTATAGATGTTAATTAATTTAATCCACCTCTCAACCCTCTGAAATCATTGTTTTGATTTCAATATCATTGTTTTTCCCATTTTACAGGTAAGAAAACTGAGGAATACAAAATTGTAGTAATAAGGTCACTGAGTGGAATGGTAGAGTTGAGATTCAAACCCTAGAGTCTGTGTTCTTAACTGCGTCTCTGTTCCACTTAGGGCTTTATTACTTCTTTTATGAATGATTATGGTAACTCTTCAACTGTCCTTTCTGTCTCACAATCATCAAGTCTCTTTTCAAATTTATCATCAAAATTATCTTTCTCAAGGCAAATCTGATTATACTCTGTCTTTGTTTAAACATTGATGGTAGTATTTTGGACAAACTATTGTCTATTCCCAGTCTATTCCTTTCACTTCTTGTTATTCCTCTATCAAACACATGAACAGTACCCATAACCAAGATTTCCCCAGTTGGCTTACTTTCTCATGAGTCATTTCTTATTCTTTGCAATATAATTTCACTTTGCTTGCCCAGTTCTACTTCTATATTTTTCTGATTTAGGGAATCTTCCCATTTTCCACGGTACCTTGGATTATTGACTTCTTTCTGACACCTGTTTTCTCTGCCAGACTATCACATTTTAAAAATTCTTAACACTTAGCATAGGGCCTGGTGCACAGTAAATGTTCATTAGCTGTTTATTTGAATAATTTATGAGGAACCTTGTATAATAAGATGATTAAAACATTATGCATATCAGTGGGATTTTTCATTACTTGGCTTTCACTGCACACCCTAAAGTGTCTTTAAAGATTGGTATGCTGTTTTTCAGGCACTTTGCATGTTTGTCATCTAAATATATGTGTCCTGGTGTGCCAGCAGTAATGAGCACTTTACTGGCCAACATCAATGCCTACTATGCCCACACAACTGCTTTCACCAATGTTTCTGCTTCTGATCGCTTTGCAGCTTCCAACTTTGGGGTGAGTGTGACATAAAAAACTTATGGACCTATTTGTTAGCAATGAATAAAATTTGCCTTCTCATAATCAATTAGTCAATATGCCTAAGTTAAGTTAGCTGCACTTTGATAGATGAATTATATTTCCTTATGGGCATGCAGATATTGCTAGCTTGTCTCTCCATATACCTTATCTCTTCTTTCCTTATGAATGTATAATCTATACTTAGAGACTCTCCTTAGATCTGAATAAATGAGAGAAGGCAGAGAGAGTAGCACACTTTGTTTTAGGGGATGCCACCTGGGCTTTGGCAGAACCTCTGTCACACAACAATTTGGATATGTCAATATGTTCCTAGTCCTGCAGGTCCACCAACAGGACATTCTAGTATTACTCAGTCTCTGACAATTTCATACTAGTTAAGTTCATGTAAGACTGATGTCTAAGTGAGGATACCAGTCTGTACAGAAGCCTATCCTCTTTCTATGTCTGAATTATTTCACCAAACAGAATATGATCTGTTGTGATGTTAAGATACTTTAAAAAGTATTAAAAAAAGTATAATCATTACTCACAATGTCACTTGACATCATTTCAATACATACCTGATAAAATATCTCTGATTCATTGCAAACATTGCCTTTCTAAGTATAAAGTTATTGATATCCCTAAGTCCTGAAGGCCTCTGAGCCCTTTTCTTGGTACATACCACTTTTTTATTGTTATTAAAAAAATCTTTCTGTAGATGAGTTAATGTAATTGAGTAAGCTGTAAGTAAGATACTTGTTTTATTTTGTCTCATCCTATTGTATGTTGCTTTATATCTAATAAAATATTATCAGTATATGAGCTCAAAGAGTACAATGATCAAAGCCTATAGGCATAGGATTTCACATTTCATTATAGAATTTATATTCAAATAATTTATGTAAATTAATTTTAACATTTACTATGAGTAGACTAAGGGAATTAATATAGAACATATTTAAAGAGAGACCCCTTCACATCACACCTCTCAAATGTGTCACTATTTTTCCTTCCCATTATTAATGCTAAGTTGAGACTGTTAACTGTTACAGGTTACCCCTGGATAAGTCAGGAGACCACAGATTCAGCAACAAACTGAAAAATGTGTATCATTTTCTTTATCTAAGATAAGTTAGTGTTCCAAAGGGCTAGAGGTACACTGATAATTTCCTATTGACTTTTACTTAGAGCTGTTTCCGCTCCCATGGATACCTTTTCTCTTACCAGTCCAGAATATTCTTCAGTTTGAGACAGAGTTGCTAAGAGATAGTGTAAGGATCATCCATCTCATTTTTAAAAAATATTGTTTGTTGTTATCATGTGCAGGATTGGGATAGCATATATCCACAATTTGTTTTTTGCCTTGCTAGGAGTTCATTCTGTTTCTATTACAGTTGAGGGGCACTCAGGCACAGAAAATTTCTCTTACCCACTATTTGTTTCCTATATGCAGAAAGAGAGATTTGTAAAACTACTGGACCAGCTGCACAACTCACTGAGGATTGACCTCTCTACATATAGGGTGAGTTAAGACACGACTATGGGTCATGCTAGTGTAGATATCAAGCTAGTGTAGAGAAACTATTGGATAATGTTGTCTATAAATATTGGAAGCAAGGAAAATTAGTCTGTGTTCTTATGCTCTCGTGCATATCCAAAACCACTGACACCCATGATTCCCCAAACCCTAAGAGCCAGGGAGATTCTTTGATTACATTCTCTTTACTTATTTATTTATTTGTTTGTTTGCTTTTTGGGGGAGGGCTCACGTCCGGTGATGCACAGGGGTTACCTCTGGTTCTGCACTTAGGAATTACTCTTGGTGGTGCTCAGGGGACCATATGAGATGCTGGGAATCGAACTCGGGTCAGCTGCATGCAAGGCAAATGCCTACCTGCTGTGCCATCGTTCTAGCCCAGTTACACTCTCTTTAGGGAATTGTCTGAGAATATTCTTTTTCCAGAAATGCCCCATTTATAAAATGAGATCATTACATTTCCTTCCTATTCTTTCTCATGCTCTCTTCATTTGTAGGGGAGGAAAATTCAACTAAGAGAAGAGAGTATCTTGATTAGGGCAAGTAATTTGTAGCTGTGCTATTGTTCATGCCTAGAATGTAGGAAGGAAGTAAATCTAATAGGAGGCCACGTACCAGGCACAGGTCAGGATAGGAAAATAGGTCATATCTTAGTTCTTCCTCTGATCTTATAATGATTTCATTACTTTAAAGTTTTGTGAATTTCCAGAACAGGCAATATTACAGGCAATAAAAAAAAGTAAGTATAAAAATGACCTTAAAGTTAAAAAGTGAGATTTTTGTTGTTGCACTTTGAGTGCACCTCCATATGCATGAATAATTGGAGAGCCTACTGTATATCTTGTATTTGGCATATAAGTAGCCATTTGAAGGTTTAAAAAGGCAACTCTTAAAATGGAGAATGACTCAATTTCTCTCCTCAGCTCTCCTTGGCAGTGTCCTCCTTAAACTTATGCCAAAGGAAATGAAGTGAGGCACAGTGGGAAGGTCATAAAGAACTCTCTGAAAAAACAGTTCTACTCAGAGCTTTGCCATCTGCTGACTTCAAAAAGAAAGAATAACTGGTGTCCACCATACATTTGATCTCAATCTTATCTGAATTGTGGCTCCACTTATATTCCAGGATATACAGTTAAAGTGTGACTTTTGAAGGACTTTTGTTTGGGTGTAAGATTCTTCACCCAAGAAAAATGCACACATAGCACACATATCTAAGTATGTGTATGTTTATTTGTGCGGGTGCTCACATACTGCATGGGAAGGAGGTTTCAGAGTAGGATATGCTACTTTCTGCACTGTGAATTATTAACCCTTGCTTTTGGTGAGGGTCAGTCTGTGTTGGTGGAAAAGATAGTTTTACAGATTTTTTGTCCAATTCAATGAAGGAAGATCCTAATGGATAGTAGAGAAGCTTTTAATTTCATTGTTTTGGACAGGAATAAGCTTTCCTGCTCCATTTTTTCTTTTTATATTTGCTTGATTTGCAACAGAATAATTTCCCTGCTGGGAGCCCCGAGAGACTTCAGGACTTAAAGTCCACAGTGGATTTGCTGACTAGCATTACTTTTTTCAGAATGAAGGTAAGAGATAAACTTATCTGGGTGGTACTGTCCTGGGGACCTGGCACAGACACAAAGAATAAGAACAATCATTGATAACATTTCAATATATCGTTTCTACATAGACATTTCTATATACTGTTCCTAGGTTTCTTGTGAAAGAGAATATAGACAATGTATGAATAAGTTTTCCCCATCACCTATCTTGGCTATTTATCCCAGAGCAAGGTTCAGAGATGAAAAGATCTGCAAAAGATTTGGGGAAAGCTAGAATATCTCACCCAGATGATTAGGATTCTGGGCCCATACTTCTTTTATTAATTGCCAGGTACAAGAATTGCAGAGCCCTCCAAGAGCAAGCCAAGTGGTAAAAGATTGTGTGAAGGCCTGTTTGAACTCCACTTATGAATATATTTTCAACAACTGCCATGATTTGTACAACCGCCAGTACCAACTGGTAAGATGTTCAGAATTAGGTGGGCCAACTATAGTGATTCATGGAGCTCTGTCTTTCTTTTGCTGTGGTCATGATGGAAGAAAGTGTAAAGTTCTTGATGTGATTTGTAGAATGTATATCACCTAGACAATGTGAAATATTGAACGACTGGTAAGATGTTCAGAATTTGATGGGCCAGCTATAGTGATTCATGGAGTTCTGTCTTTCTTTTGCTGTGGTCATGATGGAAGAAAGTGTAAGGTTCTTGATATGATTTGTAGAATGTGTATCACCTAGACAATGTGAGATATTGTAAATGGACAAAGACCAAAGGATGATGTGACAGTTTTATTGAACAGAAGTGGCAAAAATAAGTTTTACTTTGGTGCTAAGGAAAGTGATCTAGGGGCTGGAGAGATAATAAAGCACTGTAACACTGTTCTTCCGTTGTTCTTCAATTTGCTTGAACGGGCACCGGTAATGTCTCCATTGTGAGACTTGTTACTGTTTTTGGCATATCGAATACGCCATGGGGAGCTTGCCAGGCTCTGCTGTGTGGGTGGGACACTCTCGGTAGCTTGTCTTTTTCTCCAAGAGGAATGGAGGAATCAAACCCGGGTTGGCTGCATGCAAGTCAAATGCCCTACCCGCTGTGCTATTGCTCCAGCCCAAGAGACAATAAAGATGTCAAGATATTTGTCTTGCCTGTTTTTCTCCCACCATTGCATATGGTCCCCTCAGCACTTCCAGGAGTGATCTCTGAGAACAGAGCCAGAAGGAAGCCTTAAGAACTGCTTGGTGTGCCTAAAAACCAAAGCGGGGGGGAGGCGGGGAAGAAAATGATCTAAATTTGAGCACAATGAGTTGGCGAATCCTCAGTCCAACCTAGTGTTTATTTAATTTTCCCCAATGTTAGTTTTACTGAGTACACCCTCCTATATAACAGATAGCCTGTCTCTGAGATTGAGAGCTTGTCCCTTTCAGCTACTGGCTCATAGAAGTGTAACTTTTTCCTCCAACCACTTTGTACTGCATGTTTTTCTGAGTATTCATCGGCTGCATATCAAGGTTTACCCTCGCCTGCGATAGCTATTTTACCTTTTTAAGTTAGCATCCAAATTCAGTACCTGGTGACTTTATACATTTTCTAGGTATTTCCAATATAATTCTTTTATTTATTTATTTTTTCATTTTAAAGCCATAGAATATTCTATGAAAATTCAGTTACAACTCTTCTTAAAATGTCCGAAAGCCACACATTGGAAAATAGATTCCCTTCAGTCTAATTTAATATATATTAAATTCTGGGCTAGATCTGAGGAAAGTGTAGCTCTGTGTGTGTGTGTATGTGGTGTGTGTGTGTGTGTGTGTGTATGCATGCACGTGTAGAAAAGTGTCTCCCAACAGTCACTCAACTGACTAAACAGCAACAATCATTTTTTTTTTTTTGCTTTTTGAGTCACACCTGGCGATGCTCAGGGTTTACTCCTGGCTTTGCACTCAGGAATCACTCCTGGCGGTGCCCGGGGGACCATATGGGATGCTGGGAATCGAACCTGAGTTGGCCGCATGCAAAGCAAACGCCTTACCCCCTGTGCTATTGCTCCAGCCCCAACAGCAACAATCTTATAGAAGACAGTTTCTAGGAAAAGAATGGTCCCTGATTCTAAGGAAAGGGGAATTGGGAGGGAAAGATGAAGAGAAGATATTCTTCACATTCTATTTCGACTGTCACTAACTATTACTATCTTCTCTGGAACAAGAAACAGGAGTTACCTCCAGAGGAACAAGGGCCCAGCATTCGGAACCTGGATTTTTGGCCCAAACTCATCACACTAATTGTGTCAATTATAGAGGAAGATAAGAATTCTTACACACTTGTTCTGAACCAGTGAGTATCATCCCTTTAGACCCTGACTGGTTGGTGATTGGCTTGTCCGTCTGTCTAACAGCTTCTTTCCTATCTCTGTATGTTTGCAGTGCCACCTCTTCCTCCTGTCAGTTCGTCTGTCCCTCTGTCCCTTGTATCTGTCTGAGTAACTATTTCTGGAGAAAGGTGTGGAAGCATAATGGGGGGCTCTGCCAGCCTTCCTGGAGTGAGAAGCCTCTGGGAATGGCTGCCATAGGAGTCCCAGGGGATCCAGAGATCATGTGTGTATGTGTCTGTACACTGTGAATAAAGTAGGCCTTCTTATGTCCACCCCTTTTCCCTTTATTATCCAGTTTATTTAGACTGGGATTACATTCCAGTCTCAGTCATTCTCCTCTGGGCCTCAATTTTTTGCCTCCTGGGTATCCTCTCCCCTGGACCCACCTAGCCCTAGAGGATCCTCTGCCCCCGACTTTTCCTTTTACCTGCCTAAAGTTCCTTTTCCCCTGATTGACCCTAGCCCCATTTCCTGGACTTTTCTATTTGACCTCTAATATCTGGGCACATTAGCATTGGAATCAATAAAATCACATGGATCTTGCCTTGTTTTATGACTGTGATTTTTTTCTGTCATGCAGGTTTCCTCAGGAGCTGAATGTGGGAAAAGTCAGTGCAGAAGTAATGTGGCAGCTCTTTGCCCAAGACATGAAATATGCTCTGGAGGGTAAGGTTATGCCCAGAGCAATGGGCTGTGACCCTTAGACCCAAGCACCTTATTTTCTTTCCCTTTCCTATCCCAGATAGCTGCAGATTCTGAGTGAAAAACTGGAAAGCTTGAGAAACTAGAGAGATTCTGGGCAAATAAGCCTCGAGAGATCTTGGTTGGGCAAAACTTTAGCCATAAGAATAATGAAGTTTGGGGCTGGAGTGGTAGTACAGTGGGTAGAGCACTTGCTTTGCATACAACCCACCCCATATGGTCCCCTGAGCCTGCCAGGAGTGATCCCTGAGCACTACTAGGGGAGACCAACACCCCACCCTCCCGTAAACCCCAAGAATTAGGTCTGAGTGTTTTTTCAGTGAAGTCAGTCAGCGGTTATAGAATGGTCTCTCTCATATGTAGGACTTAAAGGTACATAGCTAAGTAGCAACAGAGGGCCAAAGGCAACATAATGGGAGAACTGATCCACATAACTGAATTGGAGAGGGTTGAGAGGGAGAGGTATTAGGAAGAGGGAAGGAGTACACTGGTTATAGGTATGGTGTTAGAATTACATGCTTAAGAAGTATTAAAGCACTAAAAATACAGAATATTGATAGAATAAAAAATTTTAAAGGTAGGAAAAAATAATGTAACTGGCTGTATGATATAGTTTCCTCCTTTCAGCTTTGGATTAAGTGTCTGTTTAAGACCCAGCCCAGAGATCCACTCTACCTGTACTGGGTGTTCTTAGGTGATACTTCTACTGAAGAATAGTCTTATAAAACATATCTTTACGGTTTCAAAAATCATAGAATCTTAAATATGTAAATAGGATTATTTTTCCACACTAGAGACTGCCTGACCTAGATTTCCTTGAAAACTGTTTTAGATTGATGTGACAAAGTCAGAAAGAAAATATGTTAGTTCAGTTCCTTGATCTATGATAATGTTTCTAGATGGAGCAAGAGCAGCACAGGGCAAGGGCAAAGCAGAATCTGGATCTTTTATTCAGGTGAAGTAGTAGAGGAAATGGGTAAACTTCAGAATTTTAAATTTTTGAAGTTTAGGAGCAGCTAGTTTTACGTTAAAGGAGAAGATGCTTGCTAAGTTTGAGATCACCACAAACTGCATAAACATTCTATAATTCCACCTGAGACCAGTGGCTGTCTTCTGCTTACACTGGGTTAAGCCTGGAATGATAGGCTACATCTTAGCATGTCAGGCCTGTATGAAGGTCTTTATTCCCTTGTTATCAGATACCTTTCAATGAGCTTTAGGAGGGAAGTTTTATGGTCCTAGTTCTTGAGCTTCAAGTGACTTTAAGGGGTGGGGATGGAGGGTGGGGAGATTAAAATGAGTGAAATGTGAACCAGCTCCACAAAAGGATAGGGTAATTGAGGTATTGGGGAGAGGTTTTCAACTTGAGGTATCTCAGGAGCTAAAAGAAGGATCCAGGATACTGGGTTCCGTGCCTTTTGTCAGGTACTTGCCAGCTAAGTAAACTATACTTTTAGCAATCTTATATGGAGTTCCCCAGGAGTTTTTTTTTCTTTTTTTGCTTTTTGTGTGTGTCACACCCAGAATTGCACAGAGGTTACTCCTGGCTCTGCATTCAGGAATTACCCCTGGCAGTGCTCAGAGGACCATATGGGATGCTGGGAATTGAACCCACGTCCGCCGCGTGCAAGGCAAATGCCCTACCCACTGTGATATCACTCCAGCCCCAAGATTTATTTTAAGAAGGAAGTTTTACTAATGTTTTACAAACAGAAAAGAGCTGAAAGCCACTTTAAGAGAATGTTGATGCAGTTTCAAGTCTGTATTTCCCCACCAACGCAGCACTATAACCCTCTGTCAAGTTACTTAATTTTTTGTCTCCCCCTTTTTAAGTCCCTTTTTTTTTTGCTTTTTTGGGTCAAACCTGGCAATGCTCAGGGGTTACTCCTGGCTCTGCACTCAGGAATTACTCCTGGCGGTGCTCAGGAGACCATATGAGATGCTGGGAATCAAACCCAAGTTGGCTGCATGCAAGGCAAATGCCCTACCCATTGTGCTATCCCTCCAGCCCCAAGTCCCTTATTTTTTATCTATAAAATGGGAGTGGTAATAGCATTATTTTGTTGAGTTTATAAAGTAATTGAGATGTATTTAACTACTTTATATGTTGCCTGGCATTTACTTAGCACTGAATAAATCTTAGTTATTAAGAACAATAATAAACCATTATAACTTCATGAACGGAGGTGTGATCTGAAGTTTTGTTTTAATAAGATTTTACCTGAGGTAAATATAAGGGCAGTTGGAACTGGAAGAGACTAAAAGTAGGGACTACAGATAATAATATTTAGGGATGCGGGTAAGGCGTTTGCCTTGCATGCAGCCAACATGGCCGACCAGGGTTCGATTCCTCCACCCCTCTCGGAGAGACCGGCAAGCTACCGAGAGTATTTTGCCCACATGGCAAAGCCTGGCAAGCTACCCATGACGTATTCGATATGCCAAAACCAGTAACAACACTGGTCCCTGCTCAAGCAAATTGATGAACAATGTGAGGACAGTGCTACAGTGCTACAGAGGAGATACAGCTGGCCTGTAAATGTCAAAAAGTGGAGGACAAGAGAAGAAAAGCAGTTTGAAGATCTGGATGATAGAAGGATCATGTTGACTTCAACCGTGAAAAATGCTACAAATTACCTAACTTTATTGAGGTGTAGTGCACATACAACTAAATAAAAGCTACTTTCATCATATAATTTGATGACTATTGATTAGTGGGCTGGAGCAACAGCACAGCCATAGAGCATTTGCCTTGCTCGAGGCCGGCCTGGCAAAGCCTAGTTCTATTCCTCCACCCCTCTCAAGAGCCTGGCAAGCTACTGAGAGTATCTCGCCCGCACGCAAAACTTGGTAAGCTACCTGTGACGTATTTGATATGCCAAATATAGTAACAACAAGTCTCACAATGGAGATATTAATGGGCCCACTCGAGCAAATCGATGAACAATGGGAGGACAGTGCTACAGTGCTATTGATTAGTAATCACACCTGTATGTCTACTACTTCAATTAAAATATAGAACAGAAAGTCTCTTCATACTACTTTGCATCAAATTCCCACCCTATTCATCAAGTGTTCGGTATTTTCTCTGTGACAGGTACTTGCTAGTTTCTAGGACCCGAATAAGAAGAAACATTCCAAATCCCTAAGAAGCTCACATATCACTCTAGGAAGCAGGCATGTATATTGACAGTAACAATTCAAAAATATATGTGTCACAAGAAGAATAGCATAAGGTGTTGAAAGTACATGGGAAAAACGTGAGAACCTAAGAAGGTTTCTTGAAGAAGGTGAAGTACAAAATGAAACCTGAAGAATGATAGACCTTAGCCAGTAGGGACAGGAAAGGGAGATATAGGATAATTTGGCAACAGGACACAGTATATTCTAAGACCAGGGGTGCTGAGAGAGCTGAGAGGCCATGCTTGTGGAACTGAAATGTTCAGTGTCACTAGCCGTTTAGAGTGTAGGGAAAGACATAAATGAGAGACAAGGATAGAGTAGGAGGGAAGATCCAGATCATAACAGAGGTAGTAAACCACGTTTAAGCTTCTAGACTATATCCTGAGGCAGTTAGGTGCCATTGAGTTTGTCAAACAAGAGATTGACATCTGAGATTAACATTATCAGATTTATAATGTTAAAAAAAATCATTCTCTGTAGCCAGTTCAGACATTGAATGGTAAAATGAATCACTTTTTGGAGACTGTTATAATCCAGGTTAGAAATGATGATAATAGTACTAGGCAGGTAATAATGTGACTATAAAGAAATGGAAAGATTCCCGAAAAATTTTGAAAGTGCTATCAGTAGAGGTTGGCGATTTAACTAGATACAATTAAACAGAGAGAGGGGGAGAGAAAGAGAGAGAGACAGAGACAGAGAGACAGAGAGGGGGAAACTTGAAGATGTTGTTCAGCCTTGAACCAAGAGGGTAAGATTAATTTGTATGTTTTTATGCATACTTTGTTCTACTTCAGTTGGAGATATTAAGATGGCAAAAAATTAACTAGAGTTAAATCCAGGTAAAGTGAGGGTTTCATCAATTCCTATAGACCTTATTATAACCCATGAAAAATTAGGTAAAGAATGCAGTATCAGCAAGTTTAATAGTTTAGTGAGGTTGAAAGAACTCTTCAAGGATGAAAGATCAGTGGGGTGAAGAAATGGAAGTCAGGGACAGGCTATGGTTTAAATGAGGGTCCCCTGCCGCTCCTGTTTCTTTTTGACATCAGATACACCCGACACAACAGCGCATACAACCCACACAGCAACTGCGACAACAGCCATCGTAAGCAACCATACTGGAACATAACTCCATGGGACTTGTTAGAATAATTTAAAGCATGACCTGTGGTCAGTACTCTACTCCTTGTTAATTTCTATGCTACAGAAATTAATGTAGAAAATGGAGTTTGTGACTTGAGGGACGATTGCCAGAGAAAGGGAGAATTATATATATATAAACCCAGTGATATGAAAGCCTCTAGAAGAAAGTAGTTAGACCCCTCAATGCCTCTACCGGCATCTAGTTGCTAAATAGGAAGGAGGGAGGACCCTCCAGATTTTATATTTTTGGTTCCTAGGCGCTTTAATTCTTTTTCTTTTTTTTTTTTTTATTAGTGAAACACCATGAGGTACAGTTGTAGATTTACAAATTTTTGTGATTGGGTTTCGATTATACAATGATCAAATACCCATCCCTCTACCAGTTCCCATTTTCCACCACCATGGATCCCAGTATCCCTCCCACACCCATCCCCCCATCCCACCCTGCCTCTGTGGCAGGGCATTCCCTTTTGTTCTCTCTCTCCTTTTGGGTGTTGTGGTCTGCAAAAGAGGCATTGAGTGGCAATCATGTTCAGTCCATAGTCTACTTCCAACATGCATCTCCCCTCCTGGGAGGATCTTCCAAACACCCTTTATTTGGTGCTCCCTTCTCTATCTTAGCTGCCTTTTCCCCTAGAATGCCCGGCTGGCCTCTAACCTCCTGGTACTGATCTCAGCTATTCTTGGGTATTAATCTCCTATTTTGTTACTTTATGTCCCCCAGATGAATGCAATCTTTTTATGTCTATCCCTCTCTTTCTGACTCATTTCGCTTAGCATGATACTTTCCATGTAGTACCACTTGTATGTAAATTTCATGACTTCATCTTTTCTAACAGCTACATAGTACTCCATTGTGTAAATGTACCAAAGTTTCTTTAACCAGTCATCTGTTCTTGGGCACTCAGGTTTTTTCCAGATTCTGGCTATTGTAAAGAGTGCTGCAATGAACAAACAAGTGCAGATGTCACTTCGACTATACATTTTTGCCTCTCTGGGATATATTTCCAGGAGTGGTATTGCTGGGTCAAATGGGAGCTCAATTTCTAATTTTTTGAGAATCGTCCATATTGTTTTCCAAAAGGGCCGAACCAGTCGGCATTCCCACCAACAGTGAAGGAGTGTCCCTTTCTCGCCACATCCGCACCAGCATCGGTTGCTTTTTTTCTTTTGGATGTGGGCCAGTCTCTGAGGTATGAGATGGTATCTCATTGTTGTTTTGATCTGCATCTCCCTGATGATTAATGATGTAGAGCATTTTCTCATGTGCTTTTTTTTGCCATTTGGATCTCTTCTTTGAGAAAGTTTCTGTTCATTTCATTGCCCCATTTTTTGATGGGGTTGGATTTTTTCTTCTTGTGGAGTTCAATCAGTATTTTATATATCCTTGATATCAACCCCTTGTCAGATGTGTATTTGGTGAATATCCTTTCCCATTCTGTAGACTGTCTTTGTGCTTTAATTATTTCTAAGGTAACAGGGTATGGGGAAGAGAAAAGGGACATTCTCTGAAAGTGTGTATCTGATATCCCTCAATTTTTTTTCAATCTCTTTATCGCTTATTGGTGCCTCTGCTCTGTCATGAGCATCCACTGTAATTTGTATTTGAAAGTTTCTCTTGCTGGGTGGCAAGAACTTCCAGTGGCTGTCCCTTTATTTATAGCCTTATACCCTGATACCCTTACTCTTCTCTTGTTCAGTGCATTATAGAAAAGACTACAAATGCAACTGCAGGTGGGATACTGCCTGTAGTATTAAAGGAGTAAAATTCCTGAGACCAGGAGTCCTCAGAAATTTCCTCCCTTTTTCTCCTTGAATGTCTGCTATGCTAGTTAGAAAATACCAGGTACACCAAAATAGTTGTTCTGATGTGACATGGAAGAGCATCACCCATGGCACCTCAAAGTTGAGCAATAGAGTTATCAGGGATGCTGGCCATCCCCTTTTCTGTAGCTCATACTCTTTCGCATTTTGTTTGCTTTTGCCACTATGTTGTATTTTTATTATTCAAATTAATGCTTCATCTATTTGAGGGCTGGAGCGATAGCACAGCGGTAGGGCGTTTGCCTTGCATGCAGCCAACATGGCCGACCCGAGTTCGATTCCTCTGCCCCTCTCGGAAAGCCCGGCAAGCTACCGAGAGTATCTCGCCTGCACAGCAGAGCCTGGCAAGCCACCTGTGATGTATTCGATATGCCAAACACAGTAGCAACAAAATCTCCAATGGAGACGTTACTGGGCCCGCTCGAGCAAATCGAGCCTTTACCTATTTAAGGGTGAATGAAGAGACCCTTTAGACAGCACTAGTGCTCCAATTCTCTGATAAAGCTTTAATATTGTCCTAGATATTTCAGAAAACCCAGGAGATCTAGCTGTTTTACCTTTCCAGTCCATAATAAACATCCCATTTTCTGTGGAATGAAAACCTTTCATCTGACTGTGTTTCGATGGTATCCAAACTGACATTTCTCATTTGCATATTTCTTTGAGAGTTCATTATTTCAATGTTTCAGCTCTGCTTTGTTGCTCTTTAATTTACCTTAAGATTCTATTAAACTATGACTTTTCAATTACTTTGTCAGCTGGCTCCACTGTTTTCTGTGTAATTGTCATTGACCCAGTCATTTCATGTATAACTGCTCATCTCAGTATATTTAAGCTGGTCTGAGGGACTGACCATGCAACTATGAGTAGAAAAATCCTCAGTGGGAGAATCTTATTCCAGTTCTGAGTATCTTAGTTCCCACTAATCAACATTAACACCCACGTTTCTTTCTCCTCCTCACTTAAGGCCATTCCTTTGGTTGACACTTCCAAAAACTAGTACAAAACTATCACCTTATATGGGACTTTCAGTCTCTGAAAGAAGATTTAGACCAGGATCTTAGAGATTACAACATTGGTGGCAGAGAGAGAGGGCTGCGAGAAAGTTATTGGGGGTCACCATAGTTCTAAGACAGATGACAGAATCTCCTGTCTGAATCTATTCTTTGGGAAGTCCAGAACTCAGAGCCTCTACTCCCACAACCTGACCCAGCCTCCCTTCCACCACTAGAGCATGAGAAAGATCGACTGTGTAAGAGTGCAGACTACATGAACCTGCACTTCAAGGTGAAGTGGCTACACAATGAATATGTGCGGGATCTGCCTGCCCTCCAGGGACATGTGCCCGAGTACCCAGCGTGAGTCATATGTGGGCACCATGGAGGGGATGGAAGAGGGACCCACTGGATTGGTAGGGGTGGGGGAGGGCAGAGTCAGTTCATCAAGCCAGATTTGTTCCTATTCTGGGCACTTTTCTGGGCACTGCTGTAAAAGGAGGAAAGTATCAAGTCCTCCCTGCCTTGCAGAAGACTTCTATCAAGAAGTGTGCAGGGGTGTGGCATATTCCAACTAGCTCCAATCTTTACTTCTCATGCCTCATTGCAGGTGGTTTGAACAGTTTGTTTTACAATGGTTGGATGAAAATGAAGATGTGTCCATGGAATTCTTGCATGGGGCCCTGGAACGAGACAAGAAGGATGGGGTGAGTCAAAGACTTACATTGCATAGGGGTCAGACAATGTCAAGTCTCCCAGGAAGTAGCTGTCAGCAAAAGTTCCTGTGCTTTAGGTAGCATGGCCCCTGGAATCCAAAAGGAGCACTTTTTAAAAAATTGAATCACAATTACAAGGTTGTTCATAATTGGTATCAGTCGCATGATGTTGCAACACCCATCTGTTCACAAGTGTAAGCTACCCACCACCAATGTCCCCAGTTTCCTTCCCTGCCCTCCGCATGCCTCTATGGCAGGCATTTTTCTTTCTCTCTCTCTCTATCTCTTTCCTCTCTCCCTCTCTCTCTTTCTCCCTCCTCCTTCCTTTTGGGTATTATGGTTTATAATCTAGATACTGAAAAATGATCATGTATATCCCTTTACCTACTTTCAACACTCAGTTCTTGTCCAGAGTGATCATTTCTAACTATTATTGTCTTACTGATCCCTTCTCCATCCCTGCTGGGAAGATCCAATTTGAACCTTACAAACTTGGTTAAAGATAACTGATGGTGACCTTTGTGTGCCCTTCATTAGTTCCAACAGACATCAGAACATGCACTCTTTTCTTGCTCTGTGGTGGACGTTTTCACACAGCTCAATCAGAGCTTTGAAATCATCCGGAAGCTGGAGTGCCCAGACCCTACTATACTGTCTCATTACATGAGGAGATTTGCTAAGGTAACCATGACCATCACTCCCTCCTTCTGTTACTTCATTTGTATTCATAGCCTATTTATAGACCTAATCTCAACTCTTTTTGCTTGAGTATGGGGCAGACAGGTGGGTTTGTCTAACTGCTGTTCTGGGGTTGAATGAGAATTTTGTACATTAATGTGAAATACCTTTTTACCTCCCATTAATGTTCTGGGATGGGAGGTGTGACTTTGAAGATACCTGTAAGGAGAGCTAAGAGATTCTACTGCTTTTCTACTTTCTCAGACCATCAGAAAAGTACTGATACAGTATGCAGATATCTTATCAAAGGACTTTCCAGCTTATTGCAAAAAGGAGAAAATGGTAAGTGTCAGGCCCTGGAACTTTTGGTAAAAGGAAAACATTAGAATCCTTCATGCTTTTAAAACTTTTCTCTGAGCTAAGGAGAGAAATCATATAGCTGACTTGTGATTCCCACCAGAACTTGACATAGAGGTTATGCTAACAATGATTAGGAATTACTCTGTGCCTCTCTTTGGTATTTTATCTTCTACTGAGCTAGATCTTTACTAGGGCTATTTGTTAAATTTAAAAAAAATATTAAGGAATGTAGTTTAATTATCAGGAGCATGTGCAGGGATTTGAGTTTGAACTCTGGTTCCACATGGCACCCTAAGCACCACTAGATACAGACCTGGAGGCCTTCAAGCACCACTTGTCCTGAGCAACACTGGATTGTCAGGCTTGAGTATTGAATGGTCTATCCAGTTTGGCCTAGTATTTCTGTGAGTAACCCCCTGAACTACTGAGCCTGTACCCACCCCTGCCCACTCCCTGGAGTGTTTTAAATATTAAAACATTTAAAACTATAAAGAATATTACCATGAAATTTGGAATCCACCTAACTTAAAAAATTAACATGTTTCTAGTTATCATTCAAATTATTTGACTTGATTTCAAATCTTAATACTTAGTAACATGCAATATAGTATGTACTGTAAGTTCCCTATGACTTTTGGAGTAGTATGAAAGAGGGAGTACCTTAATTGATAAATCCAAGACTCACTGGATCCATCTACCCCCAAAGCCCTGCATCCTGATGAACAATATGCAGCAACTGAGGGTCCAGCTGGAGAAAATGTTTGAGGCCATGGGAGGCAAGGAGGTAAGTTTTAGGGTTTGGGATTAATGTATTTTCCTGTTGTTCCTGAAATTACTGGCTACAAAAACTCACTTAAGCTCTTCCTGTCTAAGTACAGGTGAGGATTTTAACTTGTGCTTAACAGATTGAGCTAATAGATTTGTAGCGGTGGAGTAAAGGCCCTAGGAGAGAGGGGTGGTAAGGCACAAGAGGGGATAGAGGAATAAGAGGAGCAGCTTTGCAATCTAATCTCCTGTGGATACAGTTGGACCCTGAAGCTTCAGACAGTCTGAAGGACCTGCAGGTGAAACTGAATACTGTTCTGGATGAGCTCAGCATGGTGTTTGGAAACAGGTTAGTGAAACCCGAAACATGATTCTCAAAGCTAAATTTGGTTCCTATCTAATCCCAAAGCCTCTGTTCTTTGGTGGAGGGATCTCCAGACACCTATAGGTGTGTGATCTTCCCTCTCTTCCTGTTGGCTGTCCCTACTGGAGCTGCACCATGAATGGTTGGTGTGGGGCCAAGGAGATGCTGCACTTTAGTGCTAATGTGTGTTTGGCTGGGAATGGCTTCACTATAGGCTCATGTATAGTTTCCAGGTACGGATTGAAGAGTGTGTTCGACAAATGGCTGACATCCTGGGCCAGGTACGCGGCACAGGAAATACATCCCCCAGCGCCAGGGCCTCTGTGGCTCAGGATGCAGATAGTGTACTCAGGCCACTCATGGACTTCTTGGATGGAAAGTGAGTACAACACTTATAACTGTCCTGTAGGAACAAGTAAGGCAGTCAGTCAGATGGATGAGTCTTTCAGGGAGGAGGTCTCATAAGCTCCCACCCCAGACTTACCTGTTGTCTGGACCTACAGCCTTACACTCTTTGCCACTGTGTGTGAGAAGACAGTCCTAAAGCGTGTGCTGAAAGAACTCTGGCGGGTGGTAATGAACACAATGGAAAGGATGATTGTTTTGCCTCCACTCACTGACCATACGGTAAGAACACTGCCCTGCCTTCCACTTCCTCCTACTGTCACCCTCACCTTGCTCCATGATTTCTGATCAAGTCTAGAGTCCTTGCTTTTGATTGATTTTCTTTCTACCCAGGGAACTCAGTTGATCTTCACCGCTGCTAAAGAATTGAGCCATCTTTCCAAACTCAAGGTACTCTGGATATATGGGGTCCTTCTAAGACCAGAGAGATAGGTTATCTGGGAGGAAGGAAAGTTGAGCATTGATGAATAAAGAGGAGGGAAAGAAGATATAACTGTGGGTTGGCAGGTTTGGGGGGAAGAATTCCATCAAGTTCCAAACTGTCCCAATACTCTTGTTTTCTCTGGGGCTCTAGGATCACATGGTGCGAGAAGAAACAAGAAGTCTCACCCCAAAGCAGTGTGGTGTTCTTGACCTCGCCTTAGATACCATCAAGGTAGAGACTTCTCCCCTTCTCTAGATAGTATTATTACCACACCCTCGTGGCCCTAGCATTTCTGTCACGTGAGTGCCCCCTAAACTTGTGTTATCTCACACTGAAGGGAGTAGTTTTATGTTTAATTTTTTTCCTTTTCTATATACCCATATTTCTTAGGAGAAACCATAATGGGCTCCTACTTTGTGATCTCAGGTGGCCCCGAAAAATTATTTCTGGGTTTTGAGAAAGTTTAAGTGACTTTATTTTGCATTGCAATTCCTAAATATTTTACACTGGAAATTAATCTTAATGATCTTGATACCATACGTTTAACTGACATATCTCAACTAGACAATATATGCACTAGGCCTTATGCATTATGAAATAATACAGATTAGTAGATATGGTTATTATCCTCAAGATGGTTTTTTTTCTTTTTCTTTTGTTTTTTGGGTCACACCCAGCGATGCACAGGGGCTACTCCTGGCTCTGCACTCAGGAATCACTCCTCACGGTGTTTGGGGGACCATAGGGATGCTGGGAATCGAACCCGGGTCGGCTGCATGCAAGGCAAACACCCTACCCGCTGTACTATCACTCCAGCCCCTCCTCAAGATGTTTAAAAAATGGGCCTGAGCGATAGTATAGTGGGTAGGGCACTTTCTTTGCACTTAGGTGACCTGGATTCTATCCTCAGCACCTCATATGTCTCCTAAGCCAGAAGTATTCTCTGTGTGTAGAGCAAGGAGTAAGCTCTGAGCATTTCCAGGTGTGACCCAAAAAAGCTAAAAAAAATGTAAAAGCTTAAAACTTAAGGCAACATTGTGGCAGCTATAACAAATCAGATATTCAGGACACTTGAGATATGTCATGTGTATAAAGTTGATGAATTCAGAAGAACAAAAGAGCATTTCTGGCTATTGTTTCTCTCTCAAATTCCTTTGTCTCATATCTTTACTTATTAAAATAGATCTATACACCTAACACTACATCCAGGAATGAGACCTTCCTTATACTCCTCCTAGATACCCAGATAATAATCTAGCTGAGAGGCTGTGTGTTTTATTTCTGATCATGTTTATCGAGTGATTTGTTGTCCTCACCATCCTCTTCTGGCATCTTTGTAGATGTAAATATCTGAACCTCTGGCACATATGTTTTTCTGAAAATAGTGTTAGAGAGATGCCTCTCTATAAGGGGTGTGGCAATAGTAGATTCTCTCTTCTCTTTCAGCAATACTTTCATGCAGGAGGCAATGGACTGAAGAAAACCTTCCTGGAGAAGAGCCCAGATCTGCAGTCTCTACGCTATGCCCTGTCTCTATATACACAGACCACAGACACACTCATCAAGACCTTTGTGCGCTCACAGATTGCCCAGGGTAAGGCATAACTAAAAACTTTGGGCCCCTAACTTTTCTCTTTAGTACAGCGCTTCTCCTTAGGTAGTCAGTATCCTCTAGCCCTTAGAGAGGATCTGGGATTTCATTAGGGAGACTCTCAAACTCAGATCCCAGATTTTTTGGTTTGTTTTTGTTTCTGAGCCACACCAGTGCTTTGTGCTCAGGGATCACACCTGATGGGCTCAGGGACCACATGGAGTTCTGGGATCAAACCCAAGTTGGAGGTGTGTAAGACAAACACCCTATTCACTATCACTCTGGCCTCATCAGACCCCAGGAATGTTTTCAGTGCTTAACTCTTCCTCATACATGTACCAGATAGGTTAATGACAAGGCCCTCGGTAATGTATCTGGCATTTCTTTTCTTAGGTATCCTGGATATTTTGTGTTTATTAAACTCAGAATATATCCCATCTTATAGGAAATCTTTGAAGGAAGCCTTAAGAATGAGTTGATGAGATACTTATTAAGACTCATCGCTTTAGGAACCTTAGTTGGAAGTTGTCCGGCTAAGAGAAAAAACTAAAGACTTTCTTAGATTCTCCAGCATTGGACTAGAAGACTAAAATGGTCAATTCATGGGAAGAGGTAAAGGGAAGGTACAAATCACAGGGTTCTCCATAACTGAGCTTCAGTCTCGGGTAATATAGGACACCTGGGCAACTTTGTATATCTGAACTGCAGAGTTAATTTGGTAGGAAAAAGGGATCTGTGCTGTTAGATTGGAACATCTAATCTAGTAGGAAGGTGAAGAAAAGTTGAGAGAGACTGGAAGTACTGTGCCATTTTTCACATCTGTTCTTATTTCAAGTTCAGGGTGAGGGGAACGGATAAAAAGAAGACCTTTGATTAAAAGGACAAGGAGAATATTTACTGGATTGAGTGCATGGTAAGGGAGGAGCTCAGACTTCTTAGAAACATTCAACTATAACTACATATAAACATGAAAAGAGGGATGGAATGCACACAGGAGATTAGAGCAGGAATGGATACTGAAAGGATAATCTTGAGTGTAGGTGTGCACTTCTACCCACTGCTTTAAGGGCCTATGAAGTTAAAGGCAACAATCTCTCTTTTCTGCCCAACCCATCTCAGATACTGTTCTATTACTTCTGCCCATAATTTGGTTGTTTTTTTTGTCATGCATCTAATTTATTGTATTCAGGTACTGACCCCAGCTCTTTGATTTCTTTCTCTGCTCTACTACATCTCTGTGCTCCCTGGTAATATGTATAGAGCTGCTTTAAATGACTGTTCACTCCTCAGATTCTAACTTATTTTCTTTCTCTGTCCTGCTGCTGCTACTACTTCTTGGCTTGCCTGTCCTTACTCAGTGCATGATGGGAAAGGTATTAGGTTTACTGCTAATGAGGACATTCGGCCGGAAAAGGGTATGTTAATACACTGTGCAGATGTCAATTTAATATGGACTAACACTGAACTAGAATCAGCTTCTTATGCTAGGAGTGAGAGAGTCAGGCATCAAATTTCGGGGGTTAAAACCGTTACAAGTCAACTATTTCATTTATTTAACTGTTTCACGTTGTTTATGGAATCACACTGGGAAATCTCAGATTTTCTTTTTTCCGTGTTTTATCTAAGAAAAATGTGCCGATCTCTTACAAATACAATGACCTTTACTTTGAAAAAAAAAAAACTGTTACAAGTTTTACTTGGATAATTTATACATACAGCCCAGGATGCTCAGGATGGAGTTAACAATATTTATGCCCCCAGAATTCCCCAACCTCTGTGCCATAAGACAAAGGTATTTTACCTATAGTTCCAAGGTACTGGTTTTTGTTTTTCAAGATAAAGTGGAGTCTCTGCTATAAGGAGACTGAAACTTAGCTCTTTCTTGAGGCTGGGATTAGATTGCTGTTTGTATAGAGGTTCAGGTTTGAGTACAACAGACTTTCTGGGTGTGTCAGCCTTCCAAAAAAGGGGCTATCAGGAATCCAGGTATAGGTATTAGGGTTCTATTTTTTTCTAGAAGATACCCACTGTGATACTGAGACACTGAAGTAGACATAGTCCCCAGACAAAGATTCAGGGTGGCAGCACTGTCCTTCCTCAAGATCCTTCAACGAGAACTTCTTTAGCCTGGAGGTGAGAGGTTTGAGGAACCTCAGAAATTCCTGGTGTATTCTGGAAAGAAATCTTGCCTAAAATGTTGCCAGTTTAATGTATATTTTTATACACAGTCTTATTCTTTTTAATCCCTTTGTTTCTCTTCATCCCCCTTCCCCCTTTTCCCCTATCACCTGTGGGTGTTTGCTTTTTGCTATAAGGTGGTATCCTCTTAAACCTTTAGAGTTTGGGTTTTTGTTTCAAGTTTTGGTTTTGGAGCCATACTTAGTGATGCCCAGGGGCTACTCTAAGCTTGATACTCAAAATTATTCCTGGTGATGTTCAGAGGACCCTACAGGGACCACACAGCTCAGGGGATTGAACTCAGACTTCTTGTATGCAAAGCACTTGCTCCAGCCCAGTGAGCTATCTCTCATGCCTCCTAATACCTCACTTTTATCAGGAATAATAAGGACTGATGCCCCAGAGTTTTCCAGTGGGAATCATTTGTCTGTTCCTTAGGTTCTGGTGTGGATGATCCTGTGGGAGAAATCTCTATTCAGGTGGACTTGTTTACACACCCTGGTACAGGAGAACACAAGGTTACAGTGAAAGGTGAGTAGTATGGTCTGGGAGTCACAGACCTTTCTTGCCCAGTCTTGTCAGGGGCTGTTAATCCCAGCCTTCCCTTTTCGCCCTCCTCCTAGTACTATGCTGGGAATGCCTGATGGGATCCTTTACTAATTTTCCCTTTTTTGGGGCAGTGGTGGCTGCCAATGACCTCAAGTGGCAGACAGCGGGTATGTTCCGGCCTTTTGTGGAGGTGACTATGGTTGGTCCACACCAAAGTGATAAGAAGAGAAAGTTCACAACCAAGTCAAAAAGCAACAACTGGGCCCCTAAGTACAATGAGACATTTCATTTGTAAGTTATGGTGTGGGGACCTTGGTGGGAGGGGGGAAGAAGGGAGTGAGGAGGCAGGGAGGAATCAGACTTGAAAGGGGAGAGGAGGGATGGCCTGAATGGCAGCTGGGATAATTTCTCTGAAGACTCTCTCAGCTATTCTACTTCCTACCTTGTGCTCACAGCCTCCTGGGAAACGAAGAGGGGCCAGAGGCCTATGAGCTGCAAATATGTGTGAAGGATTACTGTTTTGCCCGAGAGGATCGAGTTCTGGGGCTGGCTGTGATGCCTTTGAGAGATGTAGCTGCCAAGGGCAGCTGTGCCTGCTGGTGTCCCTTGGGCAAGAAGATTCACATGGATGAGACAGGCATGACCATTCTTCGAATTCTGTCTCAGAGGAGCAATGATGAAGTTGCCCGAGAGTTTGTGAAGCTCAAATCTGAGTCACGTTCCACAGAGGAGGGGAGCTGAGAACCTTGACTCCTGTGCCAACCAGATGGCAAAATTTCCACAAAACGGCCAATGGAAGTTAACAGTGTCACCAGCTTGGGATACTCCTGGTTAAGAGACTAGCTCCATCAATTGGGAAGATTTAGGAGTGCTGAGAATATGTCTATTCACAGAAAAAGTGGTTATGAATCCTTGAGCAGCAGGGTTTTGGTGCTAGGAGCTGGACTGTGGGGGATTACCACAGAGAAAGATTTCTTTTTTTTTGGAAAAAGAGGAATGCATATTTGAAAATGTCTGCTATTCTTGGCCAACACTCCATTACACCATGTCTACCCCTTTCTAGACTAATACCTTATCCAATTAGATACATATCCACCCAAAAAGTAATCAGTTGAGTGTATGAGTAAACCTGGATCTAGTATCACAATTGGAGATGCCCAAAGCAGAAAGCACACAAAATAAAATTCAGATTTTCTCTTGAACAGAAACTACTGGTTTTGTTTGGCTCCAATAAGAACAAGGTTTTGAAATTGAACTAGAAACCTTCCATAAATGGGTTGTGTTACTTCCTTTTCCAAACCAGGTTCACATGGTGCTTCAGAGCTCTGAGCAGAATATTCTTTGGAACACAGCACCAGGGACCACCTGCCCAGGAGTTTCCCTACCTCACTCCTGTAGGAAGGGGAATGATGCTTTAGAACATTAGGGACTATTTTTTTTTATGTGTATAGACCTGAAGGACCAGGAGAGGGAGCTGTATTTTCTTCTTGGGTAGGACCTGAACAAAGCCAAAATTAGTGGAAATGAGGCTAGAAAAAGTCCACCTCACCTATAGTCACTGCCTTTTTACGGTCCTTCCCCTTGTAGAGGAATTTATCCTTTGGCCTCATTCTCCTTCATGTAGGTTAGCTGCTATTCCCTTCAGAGATGTTCAACCAAACAGAAGGAGCTGGACTATGGTTTCTCTGTATAAGATGAATAAAGGAGGCCTCAATACTCCCTTGGAGATCAGAAATAAACTCAGGGGTGTTTATGGACTTACCAGATCAATGCTCAAAGATGTGATGTGATCCCTGGGTATCTCCAGTAGCAGCCTTCTGGACATCCTGAGGACTCTGCATTGTTCACAGATATAAAGGCCATTCCATGAAATGATAAATTAAGCATATTTGATGTTATTAATTATTATATGTGCCATTGTTACAGGAGATTTTTGCTAGTATATAATAAATTATCTTATAACAGCCTTTGGGGTCTTGTAATTGACTAATAATATCTATATCCACACCTTAGTGTGGAGAGCTATGAGAATTACTGTTCTATATAATGGCAGATTTTTTTAAACATTGGCCTTTTGGTGCTCTCCCAATTCCCCTTTTCCCCCTGCTCCCCCTACCTCCAACCAAGTTTTCATCAAATGGTAGAATCTAATGCAGCTTTGGATGAGAAGCAAGCAATGAAAACAGCACCCTTGGTTTGAAGCTGAGATCATTAATTCAGTTCACAAAATCACTGAACCCAGGGAAACTTTATTTCTAGTTGCTTGCTAAATAAATCCTTAGAATTCAATTGCCCAGTCATTTTTAAACTTCATAATCCTTTCCCACTTCTCTGTCTCAAACCAGTTAGCTTCTACCTGAAACTCACCTGATGAATCCATTGTGTCACCTGGGTTCCCAGGACCACAGATGGAGTAAAAGCTTATAGTTCTTTTCGTCTGGATTCCCATAGTCATCATTCTTTCTTCTGCCTTCTTCTCATACTCTGATTATCCTCTCTCCTGAGAGGTTAGTTATTGGTGATTGTCTATTGTAGTCTTCAAATTGACTAACTTACAAGACCTTCCAGTAGAACACACACCTCAGATACCTCTCCCCAAAGCCCCTTCCTGCAACTTCTGAAGTTCTTTTTGCAGTGACTACACCACACACACACACACACACACACACACACACACACACACACACACACACTTTTCTACTCTTCTGTACAATGGCTTACATATTGCATTCCCTCTTACTGGAGTGATGTAATCAATCTAGACTCCCCCCTATTTAATTCTACGTTGTTGAAATTTGTCTTTTTGTTTATTTGGGGGGTCTCCCCCACTGGTACTCAGGGCTTACTCCTTGCTCTGAGCTGGCGGGGGTCCACTCCTAGTAGGGAATGGGGAACCATGTGGAGTAATGAAGATCGAACGTCAGTCAACTACATATAAGGCAGGCATCTGACCTGCTGTACTATCGCTCTGGCCTCTGTATATTTACTTGTCTTAACTTATTAATTTGTTACCTACCCAAGACAAGATCTGAGTATTTCATTTCCTTTTCCCAGTGGCCAGCACAGAGAAGGGGACTCAGGTACTATTTAAGCTGCTGCTGCCGCCAAAAAAAAAAAAAAAAAAAAAGTCTTCGAAAACCAAGCAGGGAGCCAGGACACCCAGGGATTAAGCATAGTTTCAAGGTGGGTTTGTGGGGGAGGGGTGTGTCGGAAGTTGAAAAGTTCTGCGCCGGCGCAGAAAAGTGCGTTAAGATGGATGTCGCTGAAGTTGACCGCTGCGCAGCGATGGTGAGCAAGAGGCCCCTGAAAGTGGCTCCGGAGGAGATGTAACTGCCTTCTCCCTTTTGAAATTGTAGACACAGTATACTTCGTGCTACCCAACCTTTGTAAAGCTCTGTGTATTTCCCACTAGCTGTCACACTTTTTTTTGTAAACTCTCCTCCTTAGACTCGCCAGGGTTACCACCCCCGTCCATACTTGAATTATATATGGGCTTTTCAAACACTTAAGATGGATTTAAGATACCTAGCAAAGTGGATCTTTATTCCCCCCAAATAATTCCCAAGGGGGGCACAAATTGATCCAAATATCTCAGGAAGCAGATACCAACCCCTTATCCCCCAGTAAAGACACATTCCTGTTAATTAAGGGCATTTGTCAAATTTTCCAGCACTTTTCAGTTTCTGTAAGAAGCCATAAATCTTTCATACCACATTTGACTTCAAAGTGCCACCTGTGCGATCATTTCCTCTCTCGTGAGGCAAGAGACCTACCCAGTGAGGGAAAGTCAAATTGACTTACCCAGGTTTGAAATTTGAGTTAGTATATATTCATTATATATGTATATATATGTATGTATATATATATTCAAGTGGTATACACATACTTAAGATTTATAAAAATGCAGGATTTCAGCGTGTTTTTCATATGGAGGATCTAGTATCTCTTAGATCACATTTCCACAAAGAAACTGGGAGTTAGAGCTGAGAAGCAACTGTTAAATTAGTTTACTATGGTTTATTACAGATTCCGATCCTTATTTTCTTGCACAATGACATTGCATTATTAAACACCTGGTAGATAGTTGAGTTTGTCCACAACTTTGTCTCATTTTCTGAGTCAGTACTGGTAACTCTAAATGGAAACAAATCTGAAGTTGGAAATACATTTTAGTTTGTCTTTGGCTTCTATAATATTAGATCTGAAATCATCTTAGAAACAAAAAATACCAGGTGAAATCTGTACCAAACTATTTTTTTTCTAAGAGAATTTATTCAGAATATCTATAGGCAAGCTCATGGTACATTAGACCTTAAAGAAATCCAACATGCTAACTCAACTTTTGTGGAATCAAAGCAAAAACAGGGTGTTATTTGTTGGCCTATACAGGAATTAATGTCCAGAAAGTAATGTCTTCTTTACTCCAGAACTCCTGCATAGTTTGAGCCCCTGTACTCTGAGGGAAATTGGAGACTGCATAGTATTAAGAATTGGGTATGTTTTGCAGACTGTATGTAGTCAGATAGAAGTAACTTTGATGCTGTTTTTTTTTAAATTATTTATTTATGGGTTTGTTGCCACACATCTCAGGGCTTATTCCTGGCAATGCACTCTGGAGTCACTTCTGGTGGGATGAGGCAGGGGTATATGGGATTCTGGGGATTTGAATCTGGGTTGAATTTGTGCAAGAGCCCTACCCACTGTATTATTGCTTAGGCCCCAATACTGGTTTGTGTTTATTTCAGGGCCAGGGGAATGACAGTAACAATAACGGGTCTCATTGCCCTGACCCTGAAATGAATAAAGAAATAAAATTGTCTGTTCCCTTTTTCTCTTTCTCTGTATAACACCGATGAGTAAGATCATCTAGTATTTGTCAGCCTTCTGACTTATTTAACATTTTCAGTTCTATCTGAAGTAGCTGTGACCCACAAATTTTATCTTTTCTTATAGTTGTGTAGCATTCCATTGTATTTATATACCATAGCTTTGTTATCCATTCATCAGTTGGACATTTGGATTATTTGCATTGTATTTAGTGTTGCAGTGAACATAGGTGTGCACATATCTTTCAAATTTATACCTTTGTGCTCTTGGAGTAGATTCCAAAAAAATGGAATCACTGGGTCATATGGAAGCTTTTTTCTTTCTTTTCTGAGAAGTCTTCCCACTATATTTCCCATAGAGACTGAACCAGATGATAGTCCCATCAACAATAAATGAATGTTTCTTTTCACCACATCTGTGCCAACACTGGTGTATCCAATTGTTTTGATAAATATGTCATTCTCACTTACATAATATCTTATTGTCATTTTGATTTGCATTCTTCATCAGTGATAATGAAGACTTTTTCTTATTATGGCCTATTGGCCACCTGTATCTTCTTTAGGAAAGTGTTTATTTCTCTCTATTTTTAGATGAAGTTAATATTTTGTTATTGATGAGTTTTATTTGCTCGAGCGGGCCCAGTAACGTCTTCATTGGAGATTTTGTTGTTACTGTGTTTGGCATATCGAATACATCACGGGTGGCTTGCCAGGCTCTGCCGTGTGGGCAAGATACTCTCGGTAGCTTGCCGGGCTCTCCGAGAGGGGTGGAGGAATCGAACTCAGGTGGGCCATGTTGGCTGCGTGCAAGGCAGACGCCCTACCACTGTGCTATCGCTCCAGCGAGTACTTAGTATATCTTGGTTATTAGTCCTTATCTGGTATGGTGTAGAAATATTTTCTTCCATTCAGTAGGGTGTCTTTATTTTAGCTAGAATTTCTTTTGTCATGCAAAAACTTTAGTTTGATGTAGTCACATTAGTTTTTTTTTCTTTGCTAACTGATTCAGCATTGAAAATATCTTTGAGATCCATATCCTTCCTGGAGCATTCTGCCTATTTTCATCAGTGTTTAATAATCCCTTCTCTTTTTTTTAAGTCTATCTGGTCCTTTGTTTTGGTATCTTGCAGTTTTCTATTGAGTAATATGCTTGACTTTGGAGAACAAAATGAACCCTCTGAAATTTTACCCTTCTCTCTTTTCTATTTCATCAAGTTTTTTTTTTTTTAGCTATATGGCTTTTGTCTAAAGATGCTTAAATATCTGTATACAAGCTCCCTAGAATTAGTAGCCATAGTCTGGAAGAAATTAGAAACAACAAATTGAGTTTGAAGATATTTGAATTTGGTCATAAAGGAAGATTTTTCAGCTTCTGGTAGTTCAGAAGTTCAGAGAGCTTTGGAAATCTCAAATTACATAATATTGATAAATTAGTGCAGTATCTTCTTAATTTTATCTTTGCAAGAATATTGTATAGTAATTGAGGGTATAGATGATGTCATATTCATATGCACATCTTCAACTAATAACTAGGCATTCAGTAAATACTTACCAAATTTAAAATATATGAGTCACAGAAGAGAAAAATTTTAATTCTGGCCCTACCTCTAAGCAGCTGTGAGTTTAGTTGATCTCTGAATTCCTCATCTGTAAAGCTAAGAGACTTTTCCCTATCTACTCTCCAGTGTCTTTATTAAGTTCTACAAATATCTTCATTTTTCCTAAACTTTTTTTAGTATTTCATTGTGTAGATGTAACATAATTTCTTTAACCAGTCATCTGTTCTCAGGCACTTGGGTTATTTCCAGATTCTGGCTATTGTGAATAATGCTTCGATGAACATAGGAGTGCAGATAGTGTTTCTGCTGAGTGTTTTTGGGAACCCAGAGTATATTCCCAGAGGTGGTATTGCTGGATCAAATGGGAACTCAATTTCTAGTTTTTTGAGGAATATCCATATTTTTTCCCAAAAGGCTGTACCAGTTGACATTCCCACCAGCAATGATTAGAGTCCCTTTCTTCCCACATCTGCACTAGGACTGGTTGTTCTTGTTCTTGTTTGGATGTGTGCTGGTCTCTGTACTGTGAGATAATATCTCATTGTTGATTTTCTTTACATCTCCCTGATGATTAGTGATGAAGAGCATTTTCCCATGTGCCTTTTGGCCATTTGAATTTCTTCTTTGATGAAGTTCTGTTCATTTCTTCCCATTTTTGATGGGATTGGACTTCTTTCTCTTGTAAAGTTCTACCAGTGTCTTATATATCTTTGATATTAACCCCTTATCAGAAGGATATTGGGTGAATAACCTTTCCTATTCTGTAGGCTGTCCTTGTAGTTTGGTCACTGTTTTTTTTTGGGGGGGTTACATCCGCCAATGCTCAGGGGTTACTCCTGGCTTTGCACTCAGGAATCACTCCTGGCGGTGCTCAGGGGACCGTATGGGATGCTGGGAATCGAACCAGGGTCGGCCGCATGCAAGACAAATGCCCTACCCACTGTGCTATTCCTCCAGCCCCCAGTCACTGTTTCTTTTGAGGTGCAGAGATTCTTAGTTTAATGTAGTCCCATTTGTTTATCTTTGCTTCCACTTGCTTGGTCAGTGGTGTTTCATCTTTGACGATACTTTAGCTTCAATATTGTGGAGGGTTTTGCCTACATTTTCCCTCATGTAGCTTATGGATTCATGTTTGATGTTGAGGTCTTTTTTTTTTTTGGCTTTTTGGGTCATACCAGGTGATGCACAAAGGTTACTCCTAGCTTTGCACTCAGGAATTACTCCAGGCAGTGCTCAGGGGATCATATGGGATGCTGGGAATTAAATCCAGGTCGGCCATGTGCAAGGCAAACACCTTACCCACTGTGCTATTACTCCAGCCCCTGATGTTGAGGTCTTAATCCATTTTTATATGACTTTTGTGTATGGCATTAGATAGAGGCCTGAATCCATTTTTAAGCATGTAGTTGTCCAGTTTTCCTAGCATCACTTGTTTAAGAGACAAGTTTTTTGCTTCACTTCCCATTTCTTGCTCCCTTATCAAAGTTTAAATGATCATATATTTGAAGGCATGTGTCAGAATATTCAACTCTAATCCATTGGTCTGTAGATCTGTCTTTATTCCAATACATGCTGTTTTAATTACTACTGCTTTGTAGTAGGTTTGAAATTGGGGATGGTGATGCCTGCCGCCATCTTTTTTCCAAGGATTGCTTTAGTTTATTGTTTCATAAATGGATGGACATGGAGAGTATCATGCTGAGTGAAATGAGTCAGAAGGAGAGGGACAGATATAGAATGACTTCATTTGTGGTATATAAAAATATATAGTAGAAGACTAATATCCAGTTCCTGGGGAAATAAGGGCTAGGAGGACTGGTCAGTAGTTGGAATCTACCACAAATATGTGTAGGGAAGTTTTTAGATAAGATAGAGAAGGAACCAGTATGACAATAAGGTA